ATGTGAAGGGCTTGAGGGACCTCTGCCAGGCCAGTGTCACCCGAGATGTCCGCAAAGAAAGTGAGCGACATTGATTCGAACTGGTATGGCATGTGGTCTCGGACTACTGCCAGTGTCGCCACTCGGTTTCTCCTCTGTTGGAAGCATATGATAAGGTCTCTGGTGGCTGTGCTGGGCGCACTTGCTGGTTTCGGGGCTCTGAAAGTGTCATTCAGCTCTATGTTTTTCGTTTGCCGCGGGTGGAGCAGCGCCGACATGAGCCTGCGCACCAAGTGCAGTAGTTCCTATGTTGGGATATCTTCTTTTATGCCCCGTACCTTAATATTGTTCACGCAGCGCGCGTCTTCCAGGGCTGCAAATCTCCGATCATAGTCCGCATTGCGTTTCTTCAGCCCCTGTATCTCCTGCTGTAAGGATGTGATTTGCACCTTGTGGGTATCGGAGGTGTTTTCCAGGGTGCTCAGCCTTCCTGACAGGCCTTGGATGTCTGTGCGCAGACTGGCCACATCAGAGTGGATGTTAGCCTGCAGGTCTGCCAAAAGTTTCTTCAGCACTTCTGCTGTGACAGGCGCAGTATCAGAGTTCAAGTGTTTCGGCTTAAGTGCCCACCCGGCCGGTAAGTTATACGTTTCTTCCTCCAGTGAGGAGTCCTCTGATAGCTCTGAGAAGGCCTCTGGATAGTCGGCCATCTTGGGCCCAGCAGCTCCCTGAGCTTTCCTCAGCAGCTCTCCAATGTCCAGGCTTTGCCGTTGCCCGTCCGGTTTTTGGTCTTTCGACCCATGCTGTATGCCCCTGCTCATTGGGTGTTTGCAGTGGGTTTTGCTGGGTTTTGTTGCCCAAATCTGGCGTTTTTTAGTGTCTGTTTGCCGGAGCTCTGAGGCCATGCGACCGCTCAGCTCCGTGGTTAAGCTTCGCCCCCTCTTTCTTTTTTAAAAAAAAAACTGTATTGCACAAATTTGTAAACTTTGTAAAACCCCTGTCCTGCCTCCCTTCTACAAACACCTGTAGTGCCCCCTACTACAAAATCCATGCACCCCTCACACATAGTTACAGGCAGACAGTCACACACACAGTTACAGGCAGACAGTCACACACACTTAGTAACAGGCATATACTAACACACAGGAACAGGCAGACAAGCACACACACACTCAGTAACAGGCAGGCAGTCACATACACACAGTCAGACAGGCAGAGAGACATGCAGGCACAAAGACATGCAGGCACACAGACAGGCAGGCACACAGGCAGGCACAAAGACAGGCAGACAGACACACATACAGGCAAGCACGCACACAAACATACAGGCAGGCACACAGTCAGACAGGTAGGCATGCACACAAAGACAGTCAGGCACAAAGACAGTCAGGCACACAAACATACAGGCACACAGGCAGGCAGGTACAGAGACACAGTCAGGCACACAAACGTACAGGCAGGCACACAAACATGCAGGCAGACAGGCAGGCAGACATGCAGGCACACAGGCAGGCAAGCACACAGACAGACAATTACCTCTTTCCATTATGGCTGGAACGGGGGAGTGGAGGCAGTGCAGCTCCTGTAGTCAAGTTGGTTGGGAAGCAGGGATTCCTTCCTGCTTCCCATTTCCTGTGCAGCAGTTACCAGGGGCTTCTAGTAGGTATTAGCCCTGCCTCCATTGCCATTTTAGCCCCACCTCCACCCTGAAATAAGTTCCGCCCCATCCACCCTTCTATTTTTTTTCATAGACCCGGTTGGAGAATAATGAAATCCTCCAACCGGGTACCTGCTCTAGCTCCCCCCTCCTCTGCTGTCTGGCCACATGTGAGCTATGTCGGCCGCACAGCTCGCACACCCCTAAAGCCGGCCCTGGACCACTTAGTATGCCACTGCTAGGGGGGGTGCCATGACCAGGGCGGCCTTATGTGTGAGCTTTGTGGCAGCACAGGGCACCATGGCGGCCCCACAGCTCACACACGCAGCGACAGGCTACCACAGAACTTCAAAACTGCCGCAAGTAAGAAAATTGGAGGCGGGGGCGACAGTGGGGGCGGAGCCAAATGGGTAGCGGGGGCGGAGCTAAGCAGGCCTCCACCCGCTGCTATTACTGCTGAACATCGAGGGGAAGCAGGAAGGAGTCCCTGCTTCCCCAACAACTAGGCACTAGGGACTGAATCTACTCCTACTCCAGCCCAAGCTGACTGTAAGTGAGAGAGAGAGAGAGAGAGAGAGTGTGTGTGACTGTCTGCCTGTAACTTTATGTGAGTGTGTGTGGCTGTCTGTCTTCCTCTGTGTGTGTCCCTCTCTGCCTGTGACTGTGTCACTGCCTGCCTGTAACTTTTTGCCTGTGACTGTGTGTGTGAGTGACTGCCTGTAATTTTGTGTGTGTGTGTGTGTGTGTGTGACTGCCTATGTCAGTGTGTCCCTGTCTGACTGTGTGTGTGTGTGTGTGTGTGTGACTGCCTATGTCAGTGTGTCCCTGTCTGACTGTGATTGTGTGTGTGTGATTGTCTGCCTGTAACTGTGTGTGGCTGTATGCGTGACTGTCTACATGGGACTATGAGTGTGTGACTGTATGTGTAATTGTCTACATGGGACTAGTGTGTGTGTGTGTGTGTCTGTCTGCCTGTGACAGTTTGTGTGTGACTATGTAACAGTTAAACAGGAGTTGGAGCCCAGTTGCCCAGATGGAGGAGCAGTGGGAGGACTGTGGAGGCGCATAAAGTTACACCAACATGACATTGATGTGCACTACTTGTCCGTCTTTATGGAGTTCTAGCAGTAGCTGAAAGGGGGGTGCAGGTTTTTTTTGTTTGTTTGTTTTTAGAAGGGGAGCAGTAGAGGGGTTTTGTAAAAGAGGGCAGGACAGGGGTTATACAAAGCTTACTCATTTGTGCAATATCTGGGGGTTGCCAGACACAGGATCCGCCCCCGGTGCCAAATGCTCTAGTTACGACCCTGAGCAATAGTGGTGCTGGTTCCTTTGATCCACCCTAACTTTTATTTCTATGGCATGAACTTCTAGGCATCAGTTGGGAACGCTGTGGTTCAGACACATATAAAATGAGGGAAGGAAAGTATTTGATCGCCTGCTGAACTGAACGTTTGTCCACTGACAAAAAAATAATCAGTCTATAATTTTAATGGTAGGTGTATTTTAACAGTGAGAGACAGAATGACAAAAGAAATGCATGTCAAAAAAGTTATAAACTGATTTGCATTTCAATGAGTGATATGAGTATTTGATCCCCTATCAATCAGCAAAATTTCTGGCTCCCAGGTGTCTTTTATACAGGTAACGTGCTGAAATTAGAAGCACTCTCTTAGGAGTGCTCCTAAACCCAGCTTGTTACCTGTATAAAAGACACCTGTCCACAGAAGCAATTAATCAGATTCCAAACTCTCCACCATGGCCAAGACCAAAGAGCTGTCCAAGGATGTCAGGGACAAGATTGTAGACCTACACAAGGCTGGAATGGGCCACAAGACCATTGCCAAGCAGCTTGGTGACAAGGTGACAACAGTTGGTGCGATTATTCGCAAATGGAAGAAACACAAAATAACTGTCAGTCTCCCTCGGTCTGGTGCTCCATGCAAGATCTCCCCTCCTGGAGTTTTAGTTATCATGAGAATGGTGAGGAATCAACCCAGAACTAAACGGGAAGATCTTGTTTATGATCTCAAGGCAGCTGGGACCATAGTCACCAAGGAAACAATTGATAACACACCACACCGTGAAGAACTGAAATCCTGCAGTGCCGGCAAGGTCCCCCTGCTCAAGAAAGCAAATGTACAGGCCCATCTGAAGTTTGCCAATGAACATCTGAATGATTCAGAGGAGAACTTGGTGAAAGTGTTGTGGTCAGATGAGACCAAAATCAAGCTCTTTGGCATCAACTCACCGTGTTTGGAGGAGGAGGAATGCTGCATATGACCCCAAGAACACCATCCCCACTGTCAACCATGGAGGTAGAAATATTATGCTTTGAGGGTTTCTGCTAACCTCCTTCCCTCAGCCAGGGCATTGAAAATGGGTCGTGAATGGGTATTCCAGCATGACAATGACCCAAAACACACAGCCAAGGCAACAAAGGATTTGCTCAAAAAGAAGCACAATAAGGTCTTAGAGTGGCCTAAATCCCATAGAAAGTCTGTGGAGGGAGCTGAAGGTTCGAGTTGCCAAAACGTCAGCCTCGAAACCTTAATGACTTGGAAAGGATCTGCAAAGAGGAGTGGGACAAAATCCTTCCTGAGATGTGTGCAAACCTGGTGGCCAACTACAAGAAACGTTTGACCTCTGTGATTGCCAACAAGGGTTTTGCCACCAAGTACTAAGTCGAAGGGGTCAAATACTTATTTCCCTCATTGACGTGCAAATTAATCTATCACTTTTTTAACATGAGATTTTCTGGATTTTTTTTGTTGTTGTTCTGTCTCTCACTGTTAAAGGACCACTCTAGGCACCCAGTCCACTTCAGCTTAATGAAGTGGTCTGGGTGCCAAGTCCTTCAAGGGTTAACCCATTTTTTTTTTTATAAACATAGCAGTTTCAGAGAAAATGTTTATGAATGGGTTAAGCCTTCCCCCAAAGCCTCTAGCGGCTGTCTCAGCGGCTGTCTACTCTCATTGACAACCGCTAGAGGCGCTTGCGTGCTTCTCACTGTGAAAATCAGTGAGAGCACGCAAGCGTCCATAGGAAAGCATTAAAAATTTCCCGACTGGCTGAATGCGTGCGCAGCTATCACCGCGCGTGCGCATTCAGCCGAATGGGCGGAGAGGAGGAAGATCGGAGGAGGAGAGTTCCCCGTCCAGTGCTGGAGAAAGGCAAGTTTTTACCCCTTTCCAGAGCCGGGTGGGAGGGGGACCCTGAGGGTGGGGGCACCCTCAGGGCACTATAGTGCCAGGAAAACGAGTATGTTTTCCTGGCACTATAGTGGTCCTTTAAAATACACCTGCCATTAAAATTATAGACTGATGCAATTTATACGCACACCTCAGTACGACTACATCGGAATGGGGGGAGCTTCATTACACGATGCAATGGGAACAGGACCTGAATGAGGAATTGGAAGGCGTTGAATGGCAGGAAATCTGGGAAGCTGCGGCGACCTCTTCTATTTGTGTTACTTTTCAAGAGCAAGCCTACAAGACTATGTTTAGGTGGTACGCTACTCCGGCAAAGCTTTGTAGGATGCATAAAATGGCTACGGATGTTTGCTGGAGAGGATGCGGCCAGAAGGGAACGTACATACATATGTGGTGGGTCTGTCCAGAGGCACAAAAATTTTGGAACCAGGTCGCCGTTCTACTGGGAAACATCTTTGATAGGGTAGTTAAGCCGGATCCATGGGTGTTCCTTCTGGCCAGGTCTATGGAGAACTGGTCCAGATCGGAACAAAATTTGCTCCATAAGGTGACCCTGGCTGCCAGGAGGGCCCTGGCCCAGGTGTGGCTACAGGGAGAGACTCCCCCTCTTGATGTGGTAATACAAAAGATTAAAGACACTTACCTCATGGACGAGTTGACTGCTCGGGTCCGGGGCACTAGAAAGAAAATGGAAAAAATTTGGGGCCCGTGGATAGAAAGCGGGGTTGGCGATTAGGGGGAAGGGGGACGGGCTCGTCTCCTTCATGCCCCAACATACCTCTGCTGACTCTGGGGGGGATGGCAACTTTATATCTCCATTACTTAGTTGGTCCTTTCGGTCCCCACTGAGGCGCCTACGGTCCATAGTTCTCCTCACGGGCTCGGAGGTCCATCCTTAGGCTTTGCAGGCTTGTGGCTGCACAGCCGACTGGTCGAGCTGGCATCTTTGCAAATTCTTGGAATATCACCAGCATACTCCCTCCCTCCCCTACTCTCCTCTCCTTTTCTACTCTTATGGTGCTTTCCATACGGTTAATCCCTTTTTTTCCACTTCTATTTATCTCTTTTTCTTTTTCCCTTATTTCTCCATCCTGACTGGCTACTGTCCAGCGACCATTTAACTAACAAGAGCCTTTTTGGGTTGAGGCGGGCTGTGGGGCGATTTTTGGTGAATCGCTAGTTAAATGGTACTACACTATTGCTGACCTTACACGTTAGATATGCGTATGATAGTTTGGTTTGACGCCTACTACTTATTAAAGGTTAAGGTGGAATGAAGAAGCGAGCTGCCACATAGTCAGACAGGATTCTGTATATTACTTAATATAAAATAGATTGGAGGCTGCAGTAGACAGATAATAATGGTTGGAGGACATATGTCATACTCAGTGAACATATTTGGTTGTAAGGGCAACTAATCATGTTGTATTTTGATTAATACCGAATATTGTTTGTGATGTTTATCTTCTTATTGCATTGTAATGATTGTTTTGCTGTGGTATCTGATCTTGTTATAAATAAAGAATTAAAAAAAAAAAAAAAAAATTATAGACTGATGGATCAGCCGAGGATCAAATATTTTTTTCCCTCACTGTAGGATAAATACAATTTCTTTACACCTTTTGTTACAGTTTTCTATTAATTTATGGCATGCTTTATGTATTCACTTATCGCACTTTGTTTATTATTTACCAGTGTGTATGATTTAATTGCACTTTTGCACCCTATGTCCTATTACATGCATTTAATAGACAGTTGTGTACTTTGGCCTGGATGGGGTGTTTTTACCCCTTACTGGATATAGCTTTTTTAGTCTGGAGTTCTGACTGTATTGCACTTTATTATTGCACCTATCAATATTTGTGTTTTTGATGCACCTTATAATTGTGATATTGTTGCACCTTGTATATTGAGTACGCACTTTATTTATACGTTCATTGTGTTTTCAAAATATATCTTCTCTCTTTATCTTATATATCTTGTGTAGTCTTTATGATATATATTTTAGACTATATATATTTACATATATTTTAGACTATATACACTGAACAAAGTTATAAATGCAATACTTTTATTTTTGCCCCTATTTTTCATGAGCTGATGGCTGGTCTCAGATGATCTTGGAGGTGAAGATTCTGTATGTGGAGGTCCTTGGCTGCTGTGGTTACATGTGGTCTGCGTTTGTGAGGCCGGTTGAATGTAATTCTCTGAAACGCCTTTGGAGACGGCTTATGATAGAGAAATGAACATTCGATTCAAGGGTAACAGCTCTGGTGGACATTCCTGCAGTCAGCATGCCAATTGCATGCTCCCTCAAAACTTGCAACATCTGTGGCATTGTGCTGTGTGATAAAACTGCACATTTTAGAGTGGCTTTCCTAAGGCACACCTTTGCAATAATCATGCTGTCTAATCAGCATCTTGACATGCCACACCTGTGAGGTGGATGGATTATCTCGGCAAAGGAGAAGTGCTCACTATCACAGATTTAGACAGATTTGTGAACAATATTTGAGAGAAATAGGCCTTTTGTGTACATAGAAAAAGCTTAGATGTTTGAGTTCAGCTCATGGAAAATGGCAAAAACAAGTGTTGCGTTTATAATTTTGTTCAGTGTGTGTGTGTGTGTGTGTGTATATATATATATATATATATTTATATGTTTAATATATTAATCTTGTTCAATATTTTATTATAAAGTGGATTTAGTATTGTATATTTAGCGTTTTTAGCTCTCCTCTGCGTGTTCCTAATTTTGGGATTGGTTTGCAGACACTTTTCTATTTTTTATTATATATATTTTTTTTTATTTTCTATTCATTTACTTTTATATCCTTTTTTCATTTTTACTTTACCTTCTTTTTAGTATTTTTTCTTTACCTATTATTTATTATTTTGTATTTTTAATCCTATTTTATTATTATTATTTTATTTATCGATTATTTAAATTTTTTATCTTTAATTTTTTTAATATTTTTTAAACAACATTCCTTATACTTTATTTTTCTTATACTGATGTGTGGTCTGCGATCCCCTTTTCCTTGGGATTCCATCTGTGTGTTATTTTCTCAGTTCCTTACTGTGTTGTTTCCTTATTTCCTTACTCAGCTTTTGCCCATTATGTACTTTGGGGATGCATACGCGCTTTATTTAGTTGCCAGGTGTGTTTTACCCTGGCCCTGGACACATGCGCACTCTGGCTTTAGACACTTTTTTTTTTTCATCACTGTCTTAGAGTAAACTGTGGTAGGTTAATGAAACCAGGGGGCTACACTTACCTGAACATGCATTAATGGTCATCTCACCTGCCAAGGCCCTTGTCAGGCCCCCTCCCCCTCCTCCCACAGATTGTGTCACTCTATATAAATGAACTTAAAATGAAATCCTCTTTTAACAAAGCACTTCAGAAGATACGATTGCTTGAATTTTAATGAGGGATTCCAAATTTGTATTCATTTGGTATCCAACAGGAATGTGAAGTTTGATCGGTGTAGGCTATCCAGTGGAAGAAGCCAGCAATCATGCAGAGTAGAGAAGAGATGTCCAAGAAGCATGTCCATAATAAAAGCCAGAAGTCAATTCCAGGAGAGCAGAATGGTTTTACGTTGTAGCAGAAGCAGATGAAGTAACACCAGATCTTGCTGTTCAAACGAAGGGGACCACAGAAGTAATTTCTGCAAGAAAAGTTATGGGTTCAAGCAAGGGATTTAGACACATTTACAGTGCATGGAATTACTTATTGCCCACGTTTAAATAGGCAAACAATGCAGCTGTCATAAATTTGCACAAATGAATTTAAAGAACAACACACAGCAATATCAGGATCTCACAGCCCTTCTCCCAGGATGGTTTGCTCAGTTTGGCTGGGCTCTTGGAAGAGTACTGCTTTTTTTCTAAACCCCTTCCATTTAAGAATTATGGAGGCCACTGTGATCTTGGAAACAGTCAATGTAAATTAATTTTTTTGTATTTTTTGAAAAAAATAAAATAAACAAACATTGGGACATGCTTAAAGAAGACGATATATTAACCCCTTCAGGAGCAGACTGTTATTGAACGCTAATTTTGGCCAGTGTTTGTGACTAAGTTGCTACTAAAAAAGACTGAACATACCCCATTTGCAATACCTTGGGTTGTCTTCTTTTGCAAATGGTATGCCATCATGGGGGTAATTCTCATTGCTGGGCTACCATACGCTCTCTAAGGCAACATAACCAACCTGGCAATTTTCAATGTAAAAATATTTGACACTGTAGCTTTCAAAAACACTATAAAACCTGTACATTGGGGGTACTGTTATATTCAGGAGACTTTGCCGAACACAATTATTAGTGTTTCACAACAATTATATCTTCAGTGAAAGTGCCGTTTGTGTGTGTAAAATGCCAAAAAAAATCACTTTCACTAACAATATCATCACTGTGATATGTTTTACTCTTTTGAAACACTAATATTTGTGTTCAGCGAAGTCTCCCGAGTAAAACAGTACCCCCCATGTACAGATTTTATGGTGTCGTAGAAAGTTACAGGGTTAAATACAGTACTAGCAAATTAAATTCTCTAGACTTTCGGCCTAGGTTGTCAGGCAGGTCCCTCAAATTGCAATCAATAAAATTAATTATTTATGTAAAAATATTACATAAATACGCACATAGAATTTAACTATATATGCATGTTTATATATTTGAAGTCTACGTGTATATTTAGGAAATTATTTATGTAATCTTGTATATGGAGATAGAGAGATATAGATATAGATATATATAGATATATATATTTCGTTATATTTTGATTTATTTATATATACATAGATGTATATATAATTTCATTCTAAGTGTATTTTGATATATATATATATATATATATATATATATATATATATAATTTAGAAATATTTTTATTATTTTTACGTTTTTAATTTCAATTTACTTATTTGTATTTTATAATATATATGCAATATATATAGTTATTATATATTTATATATATATATATATATATATATACACGTGTAATTTAATTATAAGTGTATTTTTATATTAATGTATGTATGAATATAAAAATACACTTAATATGATATATATATTTTAATTGATTAACTTTTTTTTTTTTTTTTTTTTACACATTCAGGGAGACTGCACAGGCTGCAGGCAGACTTCCCACACCAGGAGAAACGCCAATCGCCGCCAGGGGAATGACGACGACCGGGTGAGTAAAGATTTCCGTTAAGACGGTTCAGGACCGTCACCAGTCCTCAAGGGGATTTTTCCGATGATGGTACTGAACCGTCAACGGTCGGGAAAGGGTTAAAGATGTAAATTAAGTTTGAGTGAAAAAAACGCTAGTTTTTTTTATACTTCTCACATCAGTCAATTTCCTATTGGCCCAATCTTCCCATACAACCAGTTTTTAACCTTTTTTTATAAATCTTTAAAAAAAAAAAATAAAATGTATGCTAATTAATTTTGGTCATGTGACTGTGATGTCACAAAAGTGTTATTTTTTATTTCACTCTCCTATTTAAGAAGCTACATCGTGTAAACACTTTTGAGAAAGCATACTTTTAGGTGAACCGTGTGTATCGCATATACTGTTTTATTCCTTCTTTTTAACCTTTATTTTGTTTTTTTTTCTTTATAGACCTGAATTTCTGCTGCTGGATCTTTGGGCTACAAATAAACCTAAGCATATTGGATTGAGCAAACCTTGCTTTGCTCTACAGCATGCGAGTAGTTTTTTTAAATTCTTTTTACTGTGTTTTATACTCCATATCTGCAATGTAGTGTGGTTTCATTTCTTTACATGTATATACCTACGGAGAAAGACCTACTACACCTATATCCTGGAGTGGGGATCATACCACTTCATACGCTATATTAGGGCTCCATTACATGTGAGTGCACATTATATATCCACCCCTGCTTTACAGCTCAATATACTACACTATATTAGTATTTTTATCTGTTTTACCACTTATGAGGATACTTTCTACAACTAAGCCTACGTGAGGAATCAGCACTGCACTATATCCTTGGGCGGTGATTATTCTGCCCAGACGTACAAGTTGGAGCTGACTAGAGGCTGCAGAAAGGTGTGAGTTCATATTTTTACTTTACCTATAGTCTAAAAATAAGTTTTGATATACTACACTATTAGTTCCTTCTGTTTCTTTTTTTTTTTTTTTGTGTTTACATATAACCCCATAAGGACTTTCTAGGCGCTACACCTACCTCCTGTTTTTTATATAATTTTTTATTGTATGTAGCCTTCCCCAGGTCTGTGCCTTGAAACAATCCTGCTTCTGATATATGAAGACTATTCCTCTGACTTCATGGCTTGAGTTTACTCTGAAATGCATTTACAGCTGTGAGACATTATATATACAGGTGTCATAGCAAAGGATTTCAACACTTATGTCAATGGGATATTTCAGGTTTTCTTTCTTTCTGAATGCACTGTAAATGATGTGAAAAGGGGCAGAGGTTAAGTGTTATATTGACTATCTCTGCAAACTGCCTTTTCTGGATGCCTGGAATTATGTAAAATCTCTTCAAACACGTTTAACCCCTTAAGGACACATGACGTGTGACATGTCATGATTCCCTTTTAAAACATAGAAACATAGAATGTGACGGCAGATAAGAACCATTCGGCCCATCTAGTCTGCCCAATTTTCTAAATACTTTCATTAGTCCCTAGTCTTCTCTTATAGTTAGGATAGCCTTATGCCTATCCCACGCATGCTTAAACTCCTTTACTGTGTTAACCTCTACCACTTCAGCTGGAAGGCTATTCCATGCATCCACTACCCTCTCAGTAAAGTAATACTTCCTGATATTATTTTTAAACCTTTGTCCCTCTAATTTAAGACTATGTCCTCTTGTTGTGGTAGTTTTTCTTCTTTTAAATATAGTCTCCTCCTTTACTGTGTTGATTCCCTTTATATATTTAAATGTTTCTATCATATCCCCCCTGTCTCGTCTTTCCTCCAAGCTATACATGTTAAGATCCTTTAACCTTTCCTGGTAAGTTTTATCCCGCAATCCATGAACCAGTTTAGTAGCCCTTCTCTGAACCCTCTCTAAGGTATCAATATCCTTCTGAAGATACGATAGAAACATAGAATGTGACGGCAGATAAGAAGTTTGGTTCTTAAGGGGTTAAAGTGGCTTGAAATTCATGTCTCTGTTCTGAGTATTTCAAAAGACAAGGCTTACACTACTAAACTTCGTCAATTCCCACAGATCCCTAAATTATTTTATGTAGGTGGTGCTTTGCACACAGGCAGGAGCTTGTTGTACAAATAAATAATAAAAATAGAAATCTAAATAAATAAAAACTTCTAGTGTTAGAAATAAATATATGTACATTTATGACTTGAGTTTTCTATGGTAAATATTGAGAGGGCAAAAAAAAAAAATGAAATTAGCAGTTTGCTTTAGAAAGAAAATCCAGTTTTCTAAATGTTCAGTGCAGTGTGTGGTAGCAGCAACAGTGGTGGAAGTAGTGGATGAGAAAGACAGAGAGACAGTTAAAGGACCACTCTAGGCACCCAGACCACTTCAGCTTAATGAAGTGGTCTGAGTCCCAGGTCCAGCTAGGGTTAACCCATTTTTTTATAAACATAGCAGTTTCATAGAAACTCATTGTCAGCCGCTAGAGTCGCTTGCGTGATTGTAAATGCTCTCCTATGAGACCTGCTGAATGCGTGCGCAGCTCTTGCCGCGCGTGCGTATTCAGCCGAAAGGGAGGAGAGGAGGAGGATTGAAGGCGGAGAGCTCCCTGCCCGGCGCTGGAGAAAGGTAAGTTTTAACCCCTTTCCTCTCCCCAGAGCCCGGCGGGAGGGGGACCCTGAGGGTGGGGGCACCCTCAGGGCACTATAGTGGTCCTTTAATTTGATTTACAGTTTCATTGTGCTTCAAGTCCACTGCTTGTAAATTGCAATATAGTGTGTAGCAGTTTAGTACATAAGTGAATCATGCACTGAGGGAGGCAGGTGTTGTTGTTTTTTTAAACTCTTCGTAGAGAGAAGAAAATATTGTCCCGAATGTTCAGTCCAGTGTACTGCAGCATCAATCGTAGAGTTGCAGGCAGGGCACAAAAGCCACTTTAAATGTGTGCTGTAAATGTGTGCGAGCGCTGTATGCTGTGTCACGTTTAATCTACAAGTGAAACACAATACCATTAAAGTAGTAGTAAATCCACCAAGCAGCATCCCACTTTTCAACACAAACATCTATTTTGGCTTAATAAAGTTGTTAGTTCATTTATACCAATAGGAAGAAAAACCTGAAGAAGGATACATTACCAATTGTACTATATGACCTGGTACTGTCTTAAGATCTTTTCCTTAGCGTTGAGGACTTCTTACACCTCCACCACCAGAAGTACCACCACTGTAAATACAGGGTGGGCCAAAATTCAGAATAGAGTTTGAGGAGTCAAAACCTTTTTTTTATTACTTTCAATGATATTCCATACAATGAATGCTTAACGTATGGAGAATTGTTTGACTAAGTACGGAAGTGTCACGATACCTAGTGACCCAACACGCGGTGAATATGATAATAGATTTGGTAATGTTTACCGGTCCTTAGAATGCCTGGGTTGTAGGTTATTAGAATAGAGAATGGTCAGGGAAGCCAGAAATCAGGGAAGCAAAAAAAACAAAAGCCGAGTGAGGGAGAACAGAGCGGAGAATAGTCAGGAGAAAGCCGAGATCAAAAATACCAAAGTATACACAGAAATACAACGCACTTTTGGGAACTGTAAACAGTAACCACAACAGGGCAATAATCCATACTCTGAATGTCCTTTTTAAATCTTACGCCTTTGATTGATAGTCACGCCCCCAAAACGATCGAATTGAAATGTTTTGGTGGGCCGTGATGTCACTGGCGTCATGACGTTGCATCATAAAAAGAGGCGGGATTAAAGCGGACAGCGTCGGAATTGTTGGAGACATAAGAAAGACCGTGGGAAGGGTCCCTCTCTCCTCCCTGGACCTCCCCAGGCTGTTTAACAGCCTAGGCAGCGCAAGGTACTGTTACAGGAAGATTAAATTTTTTACATGAGTTCCATTTTGATTGCATTGTTTATACCATTAGCTTAAGGGACACTATAGTCACTAGAACAACTACAGCTTATTGAATTTGTTCTGGTGAGTAGAATCATTACCTTCAGGCTTTTTGCTCTAAACACTGTCTTTTCAGAGAAAATGCAGTGTTTACATTACAGCCTAGTGATAACTTCACTGGCCACTCCTTAGATGGCTGTTAAAGATCCTTCCTGGGTCATGGCTGCCTAAAATGCATCCACACATTCACTGCTGGGGAGCAGGCGCACTGGGGTAGTAGGGGCACTGAGGTAGTAGGGGTTGTAAGTGCGATGGGGTGGTAGGGGCACTCTGATGGTAGAGGCACTGGGGTAAATAGATGGGGAGCATGGACTCCTAGTTTACCTCACACTTACCAGTTCGGGCCACATTTAGCCCTGCTGAATACTAAGCCCCGCCCCGCCGCAGGTGAAGCTCCGCCCAGCCTATGCTAAGCTCCGCCCCAGTCTGGAGTATTGGCAATATCAGTATCTTTATAGGCCGATACTGATATTGCTGAAAATTTAGAATATTGTCTGATAATATCGGCCACACCGATAATTGGTTGATCCCTAGCTAAAATGCTCCAATATAGAACATGAACCCTTCAACACCATCTATAGAAATTCACACTTATGAACAGTGGCGTACACATGACCCATGGGGCCCCGGTGCGAAAATTGATCCGTGGCCCCCCCCCCGCGCTTACTCGGCGCGGGACGGGGCCGCAACACATGGCTGCGACCCCATGACTGCGGTATGTTTCACTGAGGGTTAATCCAGCCTCCGGTGGCTGTCTCATTGACAGCTGCTAGAGGAGCTTCCGCGATTCTCACTGTGAAAATCACAGTGAGAAGACACTGAACGTCCATAGGAACGCATTGAGTAATGCTTTCCTATGGGCGGTTTAAATTCGCGCGTGCCTCTTGCCGCGCATGTGCATTTGGAGCTGAGAGGCGGAGGGATCCCCAGCGCCAAGGGAGTCCGACGCTGGAGAAAGGTAAATGCTGAAGAGACACACACTCTCACGAACAGACGCATACACACTAGCTAACAGACACACACATTTACTGACAGACACACTCAGCGACAGACATACATACACACTCACTTACAAAACATACACTTTCACTGACAAACACACACTCACTAGCAGACAAACACCCAATAACACACACACTAACACACACACTAGCAAACACACACACATTTTTTTTTTTTTTTAAATTTAATCCCCTGGGGTCCAGTGGTGCTGCTGGGCTGGCTGGCTGGCTGGCCGGCTGGTCTGTGCGCGAGTGAGCACTCTCCCCTGTGTGCTTCCTCTTCAGCTCCCTCACGCGCCGCATAGGGATGCCGGCGCTGGAAGATGACGTCATCTTCCGGGTCCGGTATCAGTGCGGTGCGCGAGGGAGCTGAAGAGGAAGCACACAGGGGAGAGTGCTCCCTCGTGCGCCGGCCACCCAGACAGCCAGCCCACCCGCCGGGGTCAGCAGCCGCAACCCCTGCGACCCTGGTATGTACGCCACTGCATATGAACCTGAAATTGTCATGAGTCTTTTACAGCACTGTAACTACACAAAATAGTGTCTAGGTCTAGATTATACATTGCACATATTGATTTACTCAGAAGATGTAACAGAGCACAATTTGGGGGAGTTTATCACAGTGGCACATATGTACAAATGTATGTAAAAAAAAAAAAAAAAAAAAAATTATCCACAAATTTTGACCGAACTTAGGTAACAGAAGGATGCGCTCTAACAGTGGGTGTGGGCGGTGCCGCTGCGGTGATGTCAGCAGCAGGGAGCAGCAAGCAGACCTTCATCAATTGTGAGTGGAGTGTCTGCTTGCTTAAATTCTTTTTAAATGGATACTACCATAAGGGGCTGGGCTGGGGTTTTACAGAAGGGGGTGACTGGGGTTTGTAGAAGAGGGGGCAGGGGATTTGTAGAAGAGGGAATAGGGGTATTCGGTGATAGTTATTAAATGTAGAAGACAAACATATCAACTTCTAAAATTGATACACATCAATTTTTTTTATTTTTTACTCCTTGTATTTTGTGACCTTTAACTACCAAAAATAAACTGGAATACTAGACATATTATGCACTCTGTAAAATAATACACATGAATACATTTATTTTGAATTATTTTTCCTAAGCTGGACATATTATGCACACGTTATTATTGCTAAAACTGTAAATAACTTTTTTTCATAATAAATAAGAATTTATATATGTATATGTGACATCAAACTAAAGCCCCTTCAAAAAACAGTATATTAAATGTGTTGGTGCAATAAATAAAAAAAAATGCAAATTGCGGTTGAACACATCCAATAAAAATTGAAAACTTGCTTGTGTCCTTAAGTGAATGTCCAGCGCTATGGAAGCTATGGGGTTAATGTAATTACAGGTAGAGCAGCCTGGTGTCTATTTCTGTGTTTCCAAAATGACACATTTTATGTTAATTTAAGGCCGTTTTCCCACATGTAGTTGTGCTAGTGATTTATTTTAGTTCATGTCTCTGTAATCCCGCCATCACTGACCGCTCTGCGCTCTATCCCGGTCAGAGCAAACTAAGGAACCCGATACCAGACAGGTGACTGCGGAATACACGGCATGAGCCGTAGGAAGTGGTCACGGTCACTATGGTAACGGTTGCCGGGAGACAGGACGCTTTCCACTACAATAACACCGGGGGCCTTGTCTGGCTGTTTGCTGATACCGGCGGGCGGTGTACTCGTTATAATAGGAGGCCGGGGAGACAGAACGTCCGGACAATCACACTCTGCCAAGGTATCAAACAGGGAGCCAGATAACGTGCTGGGTTGCAGTGTTATAAACTAGGACTGCTCGCAGCATTCATAGAGCGCCGTGTGTATTATATCACATAGGGAAATAAGTAATGACTGGCGTCCAACACGGTGCTTTGCTGAATTATTACTTTATTATTATTATTATTATCACATTCTAACTCATACCGGATTTTATGAAAATGATGTTAACTTAATAAAGTAATTTTTTTAACAGTGAACATATGTTTCTAATTGTGTTTTCCAGGGGTTACCATTCAGAGTCAGTATTACAGCCAGTATTAGAGTCAGTATCAGAGTATTACAGCCAGTATTAGTTAGTATTAAAGTATTACAGCCAGTATTAGTTAGTATTAAAGTATTACAGTCAGTTTTAGAGTCAGTATCAGAGTATTACAGTCAGTGTTAGAGTCAGTATCAGAGTATTGCGGTCAGTATTACAGTTAGTATTAAAGTATTACAGCCAGTATTACAGTTAGTATTAAAGTATTACAGCCAGTGTTAGAGTCAGTATTAAAGTATTACAGTCAGTATTACAGTTAGTATTAAAGTATTACAGTCAGTATTACGGTTAGTATTAAAGTATTACAGTCAGTATTACAGTTAGTATTAAAGTATTACAGGCAGTGTTAGAGTCAGTATTAAAGTATTACAGCCAGTATTACAGTTAGTATTAAAGTATTACAGTCAGTATTACGGTTAGTATTAAAGTATTACAGCCAGTATTTGAGTCAGTATCAGAATATTACAGTCAGTATTACAGTTAGTATTAAAGTATTACAGCCAGTGTTAGTCAGTATCAGAGTATTACAACCAGTGTTAGAGTCAGTATTAAAGTATTACAGTCAGTATTACAGTTAGTATTAAAGTATTACAGCCATTGTTAGAGTCAGTATCAGAGTATTACTGTCAGTGTTAGAGTCAGTATCAAAGTATTATAGCCAGTATTAGAGTCAATATTAAAGTATTACGGTCAGTATTACAGCCAGTGTTATAGTCAGTATCAGAGTATTACAGTCAGTGTTAGAGTCAGTATTAAAGTATTACAGCATTCATAGAGCGCCGTGTGTATTATATCACATAGGGAAATAAGTAATGACTGGCGTCCAACACGGTGCTTTGCTGAATTATTACTTTATTATTATTATTATTATCACATTCTAACTCATACCGGATTTTATGAAAATGATGTTAACTTAATAAAGTAATTTTTTTAACAGTGAACATATGTTTCTAATTGTGTTTTCCAGGGGTTACCATTCAGAGTCAGTATTACAGCCAGTATTAGAGTCAGTATCAGAGTATTACAGCCAGTATTAGTTAGTATTAAAGTATTACAGCCAGTATTAGTTAGTATTAAAGTATTACAGTCAGTTTTAGAGTCAGTATCAGAGTATTACAGTCAGTGTTAGAGTCAGTATCAGAGTATTGCGGTCAGTATTACAGTTAGTATTAAAGTATTACAGCCAGTATTACAGTTAGTATTAAAGTATTACAGCCAGTGTTAGAGTCAGTATTAAAGTATTACAGTCAGTATTACAGTTAGTATTAAAGTATTACAGTCAGTATTACAGTTAGTATTAAAGTATTACAGGCAGTGTTAGAGTCAATATTAAAGTATTACAGCCAGTATTACAGTTAGTATTAAAGTATTACAGTCAGTATTACGGTTAGTATTAAAGTATTACAGCCAGTATTTGAGTCAGTATCAAAGTATTACAGTCAGTATTACAGTTAGTATTAAAGTATTACAGTCAGTATTACGGTTAGTATTAAAGTATTACAGCCAGTATTTGAGTCAGTATCAGAATATTACAGTCAGTATTACAGTTAGTATTAAAGTATTACAGCCAGTGTTAGTCAGTATCAGAGTATTACAACCAGTGTTAGAGTCAGTATTAAAGTATTACAGTCAGTATTACAGTTAGTATTAAAGTATTACAGCCATTGTTAGAGTCAGTATCAGAGTATTACTGTCAGTGTTAGAGTCAGTATCAAAGTATTATAGCCAGTATTAGAGTCAATATTAAAGTATTACGGTCAGTATTACAGCCAGTGTTATAGTCAGTATCAGAGTATTACAGTCAGTGTTAGAGTCAGTATTAAAGTATTACAGCATTCATAGAGCGCCGTGTGTATTATATCACATAGGGAAATAAGTAATGACTGGCGTCCAACACGGTGCTTTGCTGAATTATTACTTTATTATTATTATTATTATCACATTCTAACTCATACCGGATTTTATGAAAATGATGTTAACTTAATAAAGTAATTTTTTTAACAGTGAACATATGTTTCTAATTGTGTTTTCCAGGGGTTACCATTCAGAGTCAGTATTACAGCCAGTATTAGAGTCAGTATCAGAGTATTACAGCCAGTATTAGTTAGTATTAAAGTATTACAGCCAGTATTAGTTAGTATTAAAGTATTACAGTCAGTTTTAGAGTCAGTATCAGAGTATTACAGTCAGTGTTAGAGTCAGTATCAGAGTATTGCGGTCAGTATTACAGTTAGTATTAAAGTATTACAGCCAGTATTACAGTTAGTATTAAAGTATTACAGCCAGTGTTAGAGTCAGTATTAAAGTATTACAGTCAGTATTACAGTTAGTATTAAAGTATTACAGTCAGTATTACAGTTAGTATTAAAGTATTACAGGCAGTGTTAGAGTCAATATTAAAGTATTACAGCCAGTATTACAGTTAGTATTAAAGTATTACAGTCAGTATTACGGTTAGTATTAAAGTATTACAGCCAGTATTTGAGTCAGTATCAGAATATTACAGTCAGTATTACAGTTAGTATTAAAGTATTACAGCCAGTGTTAGTCAGTATCAGAGTATTACAACCAGTGTTAGAGTCAGTATTAAAGTATTACAGTCAGTATTACAGTTAGTATTAAAGTATTACAGCCATTGTTAGAGTCAGTATCAGAGTATTACTGTCAGTGTTAGAGTCAGTATCAAAGTATTATAGCCAGTATTAGAGTCAATATTAAAGTATTACGGTCAGTATTACAGCCAGTGTTATAGTCAGTATCAGAGTATTACAGTCAGTGTTAGAGTCAGTATTAAAGTATTACAGCATTCATAGAGCGCCGTGTGTATTATATCACATAGGGAAATAAGTAATGACTGGCGTCCAACACGGTGCTTTGCTGAATTATTACTTTATTATTATTATTATCACATTCTAACTCATACCGGATTTTATGAAAATGATGTTAACTTAATAAAGTAATTTTTTTAACAGTGAACATATGTTTCTAATTGTGTTTTCCAGGGGTTACCATTCAGAGTCAGTATTACAGCCAGTATTACAGTCAGTATCAGAGTATTACAGCCAGTATTAGAGTCAGTATTAAAGTATTACAGCCAGTGTTAGAGTCAGTATCAGAGTATTACTGTCAATATTAAAGTATTACAGTCAGTGTTAGAGTCAGTATTAAAGTATTACAGCCAGTATTAGTTAGTATTAAAGTATTACAGTCAGTGTTAGAGTCAGTATCAGAGTATTGCGGTCAGTATTACAGTTAGTATTAAAGTATTACAGTCAGTATTACAGTTAATATTAAAGTATTACAGCCAGTATTACAGTTAGTATTAAAGTATTACAGCCAGTATTAGAGTCAGTATTAAAGTATTACAGCCAGTGTTAGAGTCAGTATTAAAGTATTACAGCCAGTATTAGTTAGTATTAAAGTGTTAGAGTCAGTATCAGAGTATTACAGTCAGTGTTAGAGTCAGTATCAGAGTATTGCGGTCAGTATTACAGTTAGTATTAAAGTATTACAGTCAGTATTACAGTTAATATTAAAGTATTACAGCCAGTATTACAGTTAGTATTAAAGTATTACAGCCAGTGTTAGAGTCAGTATTAAAGTATTACAGTCAGTATTACAGTTAGTATTAAAGTACAGCCAGTGTTAGAGTCAGTACAGAGTATTACAGTCAGTATTAGAGTCAGTATTAAAGTATTACAGTTGGTATTAAAGTATTACAGCCAGTGTTAGAGTCAGTACAGAATATTACAGTCAGTATTAAAGTATTACTGCCAGTATTACAGTTAGTATTAAAGTATTACAGCCAGTGTTAGAGTCAGTATCAGAGTATTACAGTCAGTATTAAAGTAATTTCAATTAGTATTAAGGTATTACAGCCAGTGTTAGAGTCAGTATCAGAGTATTACAGGCAGTGTTAGAGTCTGTATCAGAGTATTACAGTCAGTATTAAAGTATTACAGCCAGTATTACAGTTAGTATTAAAGTATTACAGCCAGTGTTAGAGTCAGTATTAAAGTATTACAGCCAGTATTACAGTTAGTATTAAAGTATTACAGCCAGTGTTAGAGTCAATATCAGAGTATTACAGTTAGTATTAAAGTATTGCAGCCAGTATTAGAGTCAGTATAAGAGTATTACAGGCAGTATTACAGTTAGTATTAAAGTATTACAGCCAGTGTTAGTTAGTATTAAAGTATTACAGTCAGTGTTAGAGTCAGTATCAGAGTATTACAGTCAGTGTTAGAGTCAGTATCAGAGTATTGCGGTCAGTATTACAGTTAGTATTAAAGTATTACAGTCAGTATTACAGTTAATATTAAAGTATTACAGCCAGTATTACAGTTAGTATTAAAGTATTACAGCCAGTGTTAGAGTCAGTATTAAAGTATTACAGTCAGTATTACAGTTAGTATTAAAGTATTACAGCCAGTGTTAGAGTCAGTATTAAAGTATTACAGCCAGTATTACAGTTAGTATTAAAGTATTACAGTCAGTATTACGGTTAATATTAAAGTATTATAGCCAGTATTACGGTTAGTATTAAAGTATTACAGCCAGTATTTGAGTCAGTATCAGAATATTACAGTCAGTATTACAGTTAGTATTAAAGTATTACAGCCAGTGTTAGTCAGTATCAGACTATTACAGTCAGTATTAGAGTCAGTATCAGAGTATTACAGTCAGTATTACAGTTAGTATTAAAGTATTACAGCCATTGTTAGAGTCAGTATCAGAGTATTACTGTCAGTGTTAGAGTCAGTATCAAAGTATTATAGTCAGTATTAGAGTCAATATTAAAGTATTACGGTCAGTATTACAGTTAGTATTAAAGTATTACAGCCAGTGTTATAGTCAGTATCAGAGTATTACAGTCAGTGTTAGAGTCAGTATTAAAGTATAACAGTCAGTATTACAGTTAGTATTAAAGTATTAGTCAGTATTACAGTTAATATTAAAGTATTACAGCCAGTATTACAGTTAGTATTAAAGTATTACAGCCAGTGTTAGATTCAGTATTAGAGTATTACAGTCAGTATTAGAGTCAGTATTACAATCAGTATCAGAGTATTACTGTCAGTGTTACAGTCAGTATTAAAGTATTACAGTCAGTATTACAGGTAGTATTAAAATATTACAGTCAGTGTTAGATTCAGTATCAGAGTATTACTGTCAGTGTTGATCAGTATCACAGTATTACTGTCAGTGTTACAGTTAGTATTAAAGTATTACAGCCAGTATTACAGTTAGTATTAAAGTTTTACAGCCAGTGTTAGAGTCAGTATCAGCGTAGTACTGTCAGTATTACAGTTAGTATTAAAGTATTACAGTCAGTATTACGGTTAATATTAAAGTATTATAGCCAGTATTACGGTTAGTATTAAAGTATTACAGCCAGTATTTGAGTCAGTATCAGAGTATTACAGTCAGTATTACAGTTAGTATTAAAGTATTACAGCCAGTGTTAGTCAGTATCAGAGTATTACAACCAGTGTTAGAGTCAGTATTAAAGTATTACAGTCAGTATTACAGTTAGTATTAAAGTATTACAGCCATTGTTAGAGTCAGTATCAGAGTATTACTGTCAGTGTTAGAGTCAGTATCAAAGTATTATAGTCAGTATTAGAGTCAATATTAAAGTATTACGGTCAGTATTACAGTTAGTATTAAAGTATTACAGCCAGTGTTATAGTCAGTATTAGAGTATTACAGTCAGTGTTAGAGTCAGTATTAAAGTATTACAGTCAGTATTACAGTTAGTATTAAAGTATTAGTCAGTATTACAGTTAATATTAAAGTATTACAGCCAGTATTACAGTTAGTATTAAAGTATTACAGCCAGTGTTAGATTCAGTATTAGAGTCAGTATTACAATCAGTATCAGAGTATTACTGTCAGTGTTACAGTCAGTATTAAAGTATTACAGTCAGTATTACAGGTAGTATTAAAATATTACAGTCAGTGTTAGATTCAGTATCAGAGTATTACTGTCAGTGTTGATCAGTATCACAGTATTACTGTCAGTGTTACAGTTAGTATTAAAGTATTACAGCCAGTATTACAGTTAGTATTAAAGTTTTACAGCCAGTGTTATAGTCAGTATCAGAGTAGTACTGTCAGTATTAGTCAGTATTAAAGTATTACAGTTTGTATTACAGTTAGTATTAAAGTATTACAGCCAGTGTTAGAGTCAGTACGGAGTATTACAGTCAGTATTAGAGTCAGTATTAAAGTATTACAGTTAGTATTAAAGTATTACAGCCAGTGTTAGAGTCAGTACAGAGTATTACAGTCAGTATTAGAGTCAGTATTAAAGTATTACTGCCAGTATTACAGTTAGTATTAAAGTATTACAGCCAGTGTTAGAGTCAGTATCAGAGTATTACAGTCAGTATTAAAGTAATTACAATTAGTATTAAAGTATTACAGCCAGTGTTAGAGTCAGTATCAGAGTATTACTGTCAGTGTTAGAGTCAGTATTAGAGTATTACAGTCAGTATTACAGTCAGTATTACAGTTAGTATTAAAGTATTACAGCCAGTGTTATATTCAGTATCAGAGTATTACTGTCAGTGTTAGAGTCAGTATCAGAGTATTACAGTCAGTATTAGAGTCAGTCTGTATTACAGTTAATATAAAAGTATTACAGCCAGTATTACAGTTAGTATTAAAGTATTACAGCCAGTATTACAGTTATAAATTAAAGTAGTACAGTCAGTTTTAGAGTCAGTATCAGAGTATTACAGTCAGTGTTAGAGTCAGTATCAGAGTATTGCGGTCAGTATTACAGTTAGTATTAAAGTATTACAGTCAGTATTACAGTTAATATTAAAGTATTACAGCCAGTATTACAGTTAGTATTAAAGTATTACAGCCAGTGTTAGAGTCAGTATTAAAGTATTACAGTCAGTATTACAGTTAGTATTAAAGTACAGCCAGTGTTAGAGTCAGTACAGAGTATTACAGTCAGTATTAGAGTCAGTATTAAAGTATTACAGTTGGTATTAAAGTATTACAGCCAGTGTTAGAGTCAGTACAGAATATTACAGTCAGTATTAAAGTATTACTGCCAGTATTACAGTTAGTATTAAAGTATTACAGCCAGTGTTAGAGTCAGTATCAGAGTATTACAGTCAGTATTAAAGTAATTTCAATTAGTATTAAGGTATTACAGCCAGTGTTAGAGTCAGTATCAGAGTATTACAGGCAGTGTTAGAGTCTGTATCAGAGTATTACAGTCAGTATTAAAGTATTACAGCCAGTATTACAGTTAGTATTAAAGTATTACAGCCAGTGTTAGAGTCAGTATTAAAGTATTACAGCCAGTATTACAGTTAGTATTAAAGTATTACAGCCAGTGTTAGAGTCAATATCAGAGTATTACAGTTAGTATTAAAGTATTGCAGCCAGTATTAGAGTCAGTATAAGAGTATTACAGGCAGTATTACAGTTAGTATTAAAGTATTACAGCCAGTGTTAGTTAGTATTAAAGTATTACAGTCAGTGTTAGAGTCAGTATCAGAGTATTACAGTCAGTGTTAGAGTCAGTATCAGAGTATTGCGGTCAGTATTACAGTTAGTATTAAAGTATTACAGTCAGTATTACAGTTAATATTAAAGTATTACAGCCAGTATTACAGTTAGTATTAAAGTATTACAGCCAGTGTTAGAGTCAGTATTAAAGTATTACAGTCAGTATTACAGTTAGTATTAAAGTATTACAGCCAGTGTTAGAGTCAGTATTAAAGTATTACAGCCAGTATTACAGTTAGTATTAAAGTATTACAGTCAGTATTACGGTTAATATTAAAGTATTATAGCCAGTATTACGGTTAGTATTAAAGTATTACAGCCAGTATTTGAGTCAGTATCAGAATATTACAGTCAGTATTACAGTTAGTATTAAAGTATTACAGCCAGTGTTAGTCAGTATCAGACTATTACAGTCAGTATTAGAGTCAGTATCAGAGTATTACAGTCAGTATTACAGTTAGTATTAAAGTATTACAGCCATTGTTAGAGTCAGTATCAGAGTATTACTGTCAGTGTTAGAGTCAGTATCAAAGTATTATAGTCAGTATTAGAGTCAATATTAAAGTATTACGGTCAGTATTACAGTTAGTATTAAAGTATTACAGCCAGTGTTATAGTCAGTATCAGAGTATTACAGTCAGTGTTAGAGTCAGTATTAAAGTATAACAGTCAGTATTACAGTTAGTATTAAAGTATTAGTCAGTATTACAGTTAATATTAAAGTATTACAGCCAGTATTACAGTTAGTATTAAAGTATTACAGCCAGTGTTAGATTCAGTATTAGAGTATTACAGTCAGTATTAGAGTCAGTATTACAATCAGTATCAGAGTATTACTGTCAGTGTTACAGTCAGTATTAAAGTATTACAGTCAGTATTACAGGTAGTATTAAAATATTACAGTCAGTGTTAGATTCAGTATCAGAGTATTACTGTCAGTGTTGATCAGTATCACAGTATTACTGTCAGTGTTACAGTTAGTATTAAAGTATTACAGCCAGTATTACAGTTAGTATTAAAGTTTTACAGCCAGTGTTAGAGTCAGTATCAGCGTAGTACTGTCAGTATTACAGTTAGTATTAAAGTATTACAGTCAGTATTACGGTTAATATTAAAGTATTATAGCCAGTATTACGGTTAGTATTAAAGTATTACAGCCAGTATTTGAGTCAGTATCAGAGTATTACAGTCAGTATTACAGTTAGTATTAAAGTATTACAGCCAGTGTTAGTCAGTATCAGAGTATTACAACCAGTGTTAGAGTCAGTATTAAAGTATTACAGTCAGTATTACAGTTAGTATTAAAGTATTACAGCCATTGTTAGAGTCAGTATCAGAGTATTACTGTCAGTGTTAGAGTCAGTATCAAAGTATTATAGTCAGTATTAGAGTCAATATTAAAGTATTACGGTCAGTATTACAGTTAGTATTAAAGTATTACAGCCAGTGTTATAGTCAGTATTAGAGTATTACAGTCAGTGTTAGAGTCAGTATTAAAGTATTACAGTCAGTATTACAGTTAGTATTAAAGTATTAGTCAGTATTACAGTTAATATTAAAGTATTACAGCCAGTATTACAGTTAGTATTAAAGTATTACAGCCAGTGTTAGATTCAGAATTAGAGTCAGTATTACAATCAGTATCAGAGTATTACTGTCAGTGTTACAGTCAGTATTAAAGTATTACAGTCAGTATTACAGGTAGTATTAAAATATTACAGTCAGTGTTAGATTCAGTATCAGAGTATTACTGTCAGTGTTGATCAGTATCACAGTATTACTGTCAGTGTTACAGTTAGTATTAAAGTATTACAGCCAGTATTACAGTTAGTATTAAAGTTTTACAGCCAGTGTTAGAGTCAGTATCAGAGTAGTACTGTCAGTATTAGTCAGTATTAAAGTATTACAGTTTGTATTACAGTTAGTATTAAAGTATTACAGCCAGTGTTAGAGTCAGTACGGAGTATTACTGTCAGTGTTACAGTTAGTATTAAAGTATTACAGCCAGTATTACAGTTAGTATTAAAGTTTTACAGCCAGTGTTAGAGTCAGTATCAGAGTAGTACTGTCAGTATTAGTCAGTATTAAAGTATTACAGTTTGTATTACAGTTAGTATTAAAGTATTACAGCCAGTGTTAGAGTCAGTACAGAGTATTACAGTCAGTATTAGAGTCAGTATTAAAGTATTACTGCCAGTATTACAGTTAGTATTAAAGTATTACAGCCAGTGTTAGAGTCAGTATCAGAGTATTACAGTCAGTATTAAAGTAATTACAATTAGTATTAAAGTATTACAGCCAGTGTTAGAGTCAGTATCAGAGTATTACTGTCAGTGTTGAAGGTACATTGAGTGCGTGGGTGGTACGGTTCGTGTTGAGGTATCGAGTATTGCTGTCGGTGTTAGAGTCAGTATCAAGGTATTTTGATCAGTATTAGAGTCAGTCCTGTATTACGGTTAATATAAAAGTATTGCAGCCAGTATTAAAGTATTACAGCCAGTATTAGTTAGTATTAAAGTGTTAGAGTCAGTATCAGAGTATTACAGTCAGTGTTAGAGTCAGTATCAGAGTATTGCGGTCAGTATTACAGTTAGTATTAAAGTATTACAGTCAGTATTACAGTTAATATTAAAGTATTACAGCCAGTATTACAGTTAGTATTAAAGTATTACAGCCAGTGTTAGAGTCAGTATTAAAGTATTACAGTCAGTATTACAGTTAGTATTAAAGTACAGCCAGTGTTAGAGTCAGTACAGAGTATTACAGTCAGTATTAGAGTCAGTATTAAAGTATTACAGTTGGTATTAAAGTATTACAGCCAGTGTTAGAGTCAGTACAGAATATTACAGTCAGTATTAAAGTATTACTGCCAGTATTACAGTTAGTATTAAAGTATTACAGCCAGTGTTAGAGTCAGTATCAGAGTATTACAGTCAGTATTAAAGTAATTTCAATTAGTATTAAGGTATTACAGCCAGTGTTAGAGTCAGTATCAGAGTATTACAGGCAGTGTTAGAGTCTGTATCAGAGTATTACAGTCAGTATTAAAGTATTACAGCCAGTATTACAGTTAGTATTAAAGTATTACAGCCAGTGTTAGAGTCAGTATTAAAGTATTACAGCCAGTATTACAGTTAGTATTAAAGTATTACAGCCAGTGTTAGAGTCAATATCAGAGTATTACAGTTAGTATTAAAGTATTGCAGCCAGTATTAGAGTCAGTATAAGAGTATTACAGGCAGTATTACAGTTAGTATTAAAGTATTACAGCCAGTGTTAGTCAGTATCAGAGTTTTACAGACAGTGTTAGAGTCAGTATCAGAGTATTACTGTCACTATTAGAGTCAGTCAGTATTACAGTTAATATAAAAGTATTGCAGCCAGTATTACAGTTAGTATTAAAGTATTACAGCCAGTGTTAGAGTCAGTATCAGAGTCTTACTGTCAGTGTTAGAGTCAGTATCAGAGTATTACAGTCAGTCAGTATTACAGTTAATATAAAAGTATTACAGCCAGTATTACAGTTAGTATTAAAGTATTACAGCCAATGTTATAGTCAGTATCAGAGTTTTACAGCCAGTGTTAGAGTCAGTATCAGAGTATTACTGTCAGTGTTAGAGTCAGTATCAGAGTATTATAGTCAGTATTAGAGTCAGTCAGTATTACAGTTAATATAAAAGTATTACAGCCAGTATTACAGTTAGTATTAAAGTATTACAGCCAATGTTAGAGTCAGTATCAGAGTTTTACAGCCTGTGTTAGAGTCAGTATCGGAGTATTAAAGCCAGTATTACAGTCAGTATCAGAGTATTACAGCCAGTATTACAGTCAGTATCAGTCAGTTTCAGAGGCAGAATTATTTATGCATTAACAAATGTTACTGATTGCTTTACTTTTTTGCAGTTTGCGTTAATACATTGCATTAATATCCAAATACTATGCTAATTAGAACTTATCATGTAGGTTTACAAAGTCCTTGGACAAACAGTATAGCAGGTGTCAAGAGTCATAAGATTGCACCTCAATTTTTTAAAGTATTTCCTCTGTATTATAATTTATTATTATTATTATTATTAATACAGCACTAACATACTCTTCAGTGAGGTACAGTACTGTGTTCTTTTTAGGGAAAATATACTTACAGTATGCATACATATATACCCAGGACATACTTGAAAACGAGAGAAATCTCAATGTATCTTTCCTGGTAAAATATTTTATAAATAAATAATCTGTTGCCATTCTTTGAAACATAATTTCTTTATCGTTTTAATATCTCACTATAAGGTGTCCAAATATACATTAGTTTGGTGGTCAGGTGTGCTTGTATGGATGCAAACATTTTAGTGTGCACTAAAATATATTGGATCGTGCCTTATCTTACATCAGTATGTGTTCCAATCTAAAGTATGTATCAGTGGGTCTCATTGCAAAGCTTTCAAAATGGGGCACCATAATTATTTGTGTTTCAACAAATACAATTACCGATAGACTAACTCATTATGATACATTTCTAGAATAGGAATTCTTTTTAAAATAAATGTTATATTTTATTTGGAAGTTTGCCTTCCAGAGGCTTTTAATTGACCCACCATCATAGTACAATTGTAATTATTTAAGCACCAACACTATTCAAGAAGCTTGAATCTCAAGATAAGGTGGTGACATTTGTATACATTATTTAATAAATTCTAGTTGTACTTCAGTGATCCATATATATTTATATAACATTTCAACAAAACATATAAATATGTATACCTTGTCTTTTTTTAAGTTTATTTTCCAGACAGCCTCAAAGACATGCCTCTTCCTGACACAATGTTCTGTGCACAACAAATACATATACCTCCTGAACTGCCTGACATCTTAAAACAGTTCACAAAGGCTGCTATCAGAACCCAGCCTCATGATGTGCTTCAGTGGTCAACTGCGTAAGTTATATTTTGCTACTCTTACCAACCTAAATGTGTCCTGCTCAAGTAAGAACATTTTATAAATGTCAGGAAAGTAAAATGGTTAAAACTCACCAATTTTCAGCGCTGTGCAGGGCTTCTTGTGTCAAGCCTTGCCCCGATCAGCCACAGTAAAGCATTAGATTGTGATAATCTCAGCCAAGCAGGTGAGGCCGAGGTGGAACCAAACGCCACCCTGGCCAATCAGCATCTCTATGAGTAACATTTAGCGCCTCCATGCAGTGTGGGGAGATGCTGAACATCAGTGCTGCACATTGTGCTGTCCCAGGAAGTGCCTCTAGTGACCTTCTGAGTGACTGCCACTAGAGGTGTTAGTAGGCAGTAATGTAAATACTGCTTTTTCTCTTTATTAAAATGCCTGCATGGACATACTTACAAGACATGTTCATGTGACTATAGTATCCCTTTTAGTCCATTATTTATATGGTAATTATGTAGTAATTTATTTCTACAACTACATGTATGGCACATTACAAAATTTTCATAAAAGTTATGGAATTTGCTCAGTTTTATATTTTGTTTGTTTGGTTTTTTTTTTGCTTCAGGAAGTATTCATTTTACAGCTCAAACATTTACCATTAGTTTATTATAATATGCTTTTCTCACTTTCATAGCTCACAATTTGAATTCTAACTGTATCTTGATTAGGTGAAAATACCAAGAGCTCAAAAGGAATCCTATGAATGAAATGTGTTATATCATGTATACTTAAAATATGGGTAATTATTGCAAGTGATCTATTGTTACCATATAACAGCTATTTTAGAGGTACTTAAGCAGGACAGGATATCACGACCTCGCTCCCACACTCACCTACCTCATGCTCCCACGCCACGTCTCTCTCTCACTCCATTAGGATGCAGTTTCGGAGCTCGACCCTCCAGATAGCGTGGTCGGCTCAACCACCCACGCCGATCGCTTATGTTCATATGAACGCCACGTCTGTTCGTGCGAACACAACTTACCAACACAGGAGGCAGAACTCCGTTCGTATGGACACTGGTTACTGAACATGGCAAGAACAGAACCCTGTTCATGAATGTGACAAACGCCCTGTGGTGGTTTGCCACGAGTTTTTGGAGGAGCCTGTTAGCCAGCCTCCTGCCCTAGGATTATGGACCATACAAAATACCCTGCCAACTACTCTGTTCATGTGATTTGGGATTATGTTGTTTGGGAAGCGAACAACCGCATGAACCAGAGACACCCCAGGAGCTTGTTAAGCCCAATTGACACCTTGTTACTAGTTCCACTGCAGTGTTCTAATTGTTCGTCTGGGTCGTATGAACGTCCACAAGGAGACGGCCATCTTGTTCCCGCGAACTCAGCCAGAGGTGTTTGGGCATCAATCTCCTGGAACTAAAATCGGACATGGAAACTCCCGAACACCACTGGACCTCCATCATCTACTGCGTTCGTTCTATACGACTTAGAAGGGCACTGTTCAGAGGAAACGTTCCCACAAACAAAGTGAACATGCTCCAGAGAACTATGGATTCCATTCGGTAGTTGTTTGTTTTTTAAACTACCGAACTTGACCGACCATTAGCACTTATTTCATGGAACTGTGTTGGGCATAGGACCATGTGCACGGTCGGTCAGAATTATGAATTATGACTTCCATGGAAATCCCGAACCCCTGAACCAATCTGGGTGATTTTTGATTTCAGGAGAAGTGTAGCGGTACTTACCCTTTCCAGGGGCCGGCCGGGGTCCTCTGTTCGAGCCGCGCGCGGTCCTGCTGCTGCACGAGCCGCGCGCGGCTCATCCGACGGCTGTGACTGGAAAGCGGTCACGTGTTCCACCTAACTCTAAGAGCGCGCCGCGGGTATCGGGCGCGCTCTTAAAGGGACAGTGGGTGCCTAAATTGGAAAAGGCATCCCATTGGTCCCTGTCATGCCACACTCCCCATACACTTACCTTTTGGGGGCGTGGATGTGACAGGGACCAATCAAATTAGATGTTTAGGTATTTATACTCACCTTCTTCCCTTTGTTCCTTGCCCTATCGTGGTTTCTGTATCAGTTCCCTTTAGCGCTTGTTGTGTTCAGTTGTGTTTCTCCGTATTGACCTTGGCTTTGTTTCTGACTACGTTTTCTCTTTATCCTTCTGTTCTGGTTGTCGGCTTGTTGTTTACTGTGTACCAGACCCCGGCTTGTCCTAGTTTACGCTGTCTCTCTGTGCCCTTGATTTCGGATTGTTCCTGACTCTGTCTCCTCTCATATACGTCGAGTCCGGCCATTCTAAGGTCCGGTAGACGTATCTCTCCTCTCTGTTGTCTTTTGTTTAGCTGAATCCTGCGTGTTGGGGTATATTCTCGTTACAAGAAGTAACGCTTGTGCGGTTTTTATATGTTTTTTTTTTTTTATTGCCTGTTTCTGTACTGAGAGATAATTCAATTATATGTTTATGAGCTCAGGTAATTATCTCTTAGGCACAGGGGAGGGGTATGCTAGATGTTTGCTTGTAACTAGTCTCCTCTCAGGTCCAGGAGGAGGGATTTTGTGTTTTGTGTGGGAGTGTTATGGGCGTGTTTGACTGCGTCTAAATTGTTTAAAAGCAGGCCATCTGGCCAGATTAAAGCATTCCAGCTTGTACTCCCAGAACTATGTGTCGTCTGGTTACTGGGAAAGGAAAGGGCTAATCACTACTCCAGCTTGTTCCAGTGTGGAGGATTCAACAGGGGAAAGTCCTTGTAAGGACTACAGCTCCCAGGACTGAGTGTCATCCAGTGCGAGTGAATAGAGTGAGTTCCCTACTCGGCTCCAGGAGGGTGCGGTTCCAGGGCCCCAGAATGGTAAAGATAATAGGCACTTCATAAACTGTGATAATTCCACTACTTTGAATTTTCAAATCTTGTACTCAAAGATGATAAAGGACATGTGGAAGAAACCTATGATGTAGTCAGTGGTATACCTACCACGGTCGCAGGGGCCTCCTGGATACCCTCTGGGCCAGTGCACAGGAGAGGGAATGGGACACATGGAAGGGCTGTGGGGCATTGGGAATGAGACACATGGGGGATCCTGGGGGAATGAGACACCGGGGGGAATGACGCACCGGGGGTGGGGGGTTTGATACACAATTTTCGAACTGGGACCTGGTAGATTCTAGTTACTCCTCTGGGTGTAGTGTATATATATATATATATATATATATATATATATATATATATATATAAACAAAACACACTATTTACTATGGAAAAACTTACAAAAGGAGAGCATTTCCAAGCCCATAAAAAGATGTCAGGAAGCAAAAAAACCTTTTCTGTAGTAAAGTGCATGTGCAGGACAAAAAAGACTTCCGTCTTTACAGCAAAATATAAAGTCACAATAGCAAAAAAAAAAAAGTAACAAATCTAGACAACCAGACTTCCTCAGGGGGTAAACAGTCGCCAAGTTGACATTTCGTATACAAAAATTGTAATCTTAGAAATACTGTCCTCTTGTATATTACAAGATATTGTTGGTGTGAACACATGCCAGGTGACTGACATCTCCCAGCCAACCACACTCAGAACTCAGGACAATGCAGGCAGAGTGCTGCTGAAGCACTGTCTGCATTGTCCTAGGCCTCTCAGCACAGCTCGCTGGGGATAGTTCCCTGCTGGTCTGCAGCAAAATTCGGATGGCGAGAGTGGAGCTCAAAATTGTAACGGGGCTGCCTAAATTAGAATAGTTAGGAGGTTCAATAATTGTGTATAACAGTATCTTTTTTTCTTCCTAAACCATTACACAAAGTGTTTTAACCCCTTAAGGACCAAACTTCTGGAATAAAAGGGAATCATGACATGTCACACATGTCATGTGTCCTTAAGGGGTGTGACGAAGTGCCCTTCGCCACTTGTGCCTGGAGAGGACTGCTTGCCCGCCTCTTGCCCTGTGACTATGGCCCCTGGTTTGTATTGCCCTTTAAAGACATGATTTGGGCATAATGGATTTGTGTTGTGCTGCTGCTGGCCCTTTAAGAACCATCTGGGGACATACTGTGGAGTTACTGGGTGGCCACCATTTCCTGTATCAGAAGCACATGGTGAGAACAATGGATGGCGGCCATTTTAACTCACAGACACTGTTTGGACTTTTCAACACGGTGCCATCTTGCCAGTATTTGGTGCACAGAGACATCGTGCAGTGGTTTTGGACTATACAGCAGGGGACACATTATAAAGTGATTGTTTTTCATTTAGCCTGTATATGTTCTGCAGAATCTGCATTAAACTGTATTTTCCAAAGTACTGAACGGATCTGGGTGAATTTTGGATATGTGGTTCACCCAGATCCCCCGGTTCCAAGGATATACTTTTTATGGGGTTATTGCATGTTTTGGGGTCCCTGTGTGTATTATGAAACTGTATTATTTCTGGCCAGCAGATAATTGAGTTTTGTGTATTGTAGAAACTCAATTATCTAGCCTGGCCCAGAGGAGGAGTTTTGTGTTGCATAAATTGTGAGTTCTGTGTGCCAGTAAATCAGTCTTGTTCCAGCATTAAGCCTTGGCTCATGTTTGGGGGAAGGGATACCTACACTCTGGGGATTGCTATAATCACTTACTCCCCAGAGGAAGCTCTTGCAATAGCTTGATTTGTTCCTGTTCCTGCTCTCTGGGGAAAGAGAGGTTCACCCACTGGAAGCTGGATCCTGGCCTTGGGTCCAGGGTGGGTGGAAACAGCAGAGACCCCGGCGCAGTTGCATCGCTGGAAGTGGGGTCTGCAGTGCTGATGGTGTCAGTTGGAGTGCTTGGAGTCCTCAGCGAGCACTAGGAGCATCGATTGGCGGAGGTACTCAGTCGGAGTGCCAGCGTTCCGTCACATTTGGTGGCAGTGTGTCAGGAACCAGGAACCAGACAGAGACAGATCTAGATGCAAAAACACCTTTATTTAATAAACAACAAAGAAATCACCAAAAGCAAAGTCCAGGAGGCAAGCAGGGGTCAGTCACCAGAGCGGGTAGTCAGACGAGCCAGGATCAGGAGCACGGAGGTCAGCGGAGTCAGGAACAAGGCCAGAGTCAGGAACCAGGAGCAAACAGGAAACACAGGAACAAGGAGACTTCTGGGGGACAGGAAACCACGCAAGGGCAAGGAGGTTGTGGAATTTGCTGCTTAAATAGGCTGAAGTGATTAGCAGCAGGGTTGATTATTATTCTCAGGTGAGTAACCTTGGCAACATGCTGAAGGAGCTGATAGTTAATTACAGCTGAAACCTCAGACACTGAAAAAGGAAGGGTGGCTGTTTAAAACAGCAAAGAAACCCTGACAGTACCTCCCCCTCAACGACTCCCCCCATTTCTGCTGGTGGGTCCGGGCTTCATGGGGAAGCGAGCGTGATAGGAACGAAGGAGGGATGGTGCATGGACATCAGAGGCTGGAACCCAGGAGCGTTCCTCTGGACCGTACCCTTTCCAGTGCACCAAGTATTGGATCTGTCCTCTGAAGACTCGTGAGTCAATGATGCTGCGTATTTCATATTCCTCATGATTGTCAACCGGAATAGGACGTCGACGTGGTACTGAGGTGGTGTAACGATTACATACCAATGGTTTCAAGAGGGAAACATGGAATACATTAGAAATGCGCATGTTAGCAGGAAGGTCAAGTGCGTAAGCTACAGGGTTAACCCTTCGAAGTATACGAAATGGCCCAGCATATCGGGGTGCCAGTTTTTGTGAGGGAACACGGAGCCGTAGGTTGCGAGAAGACAACCAGACCCTCTCTCCGACTTGATAGGTAGGTGCAGGAAGGCGTCTGCGGTCGGCCTGGAGTTTGTAGTTCTGCATTGCGTGTTGCAAAGAGTTCTGAACCTGCACCCAAGTGGAACGGAGTTCCCTGAGATGTTCCTCCAATGCCGGTATCCCTTGTGGCATGAACGTATCAGGCAATATGGACGGTTGAAAGCCATAGTTCGCCAAGAATGGGGATAGCCGGGAAGAGGCAAACTCCGCCCAGGGTAGCAGATCAGACCAGTTGTTCTGGTGGTCAGAAATGTAGCAACGCAGAAACTGTTCCAGTGTTTGGTTAGCTCGTTCCGCGGCACCATTGGATTGCGGGTGGTAGGCAGAGGAGAAGGAGAGCTGAATTCCCATTTGTGTACAAAAAGCTCTCCAAAATCTGGACACAAACTGGCTACCCCTATCTGAGATTATCACTTTGGGTAACCCATGCAAACGAAAGACCTCCCGAGCAAAAATTGTTGCAAGTTCCTGAGAAGTTGGTAGTTTTTTCAAGGGAATGCAATGCGACATCTTTGAGAATCGATCAACAACCATGAGAATGACTGTATTGCCACGGGAGACCGGAAGATCTACGATAAAATACATGGACAAGTGGGTCCAGGGTCGTTCACCATTAGGTATGGTTTGCAGGAGACCCAATGGAGGGTGTCGTGGGGTTTTATTTTGAGCGCATACAGGACAGGCAGCTACAAAAGCAGTGACATCCGAACGGAGACTAGGCCACCAAAATTGCAGAGAGACGGACCAGATTAATTGGTTTTTGCCTGGATGTCCAGCTGCTTTGGAGTTGTGATAAGTACTTAATAATTTAGTACGGAGATGGATGGGTACAAAACAACAGCCATTAGGTTTCTCTGGAGGAGCATTACTTTGTGCAGCCAGAATCTCCTCGCCTAGGTGTGAGGTGAGGCTAGTACGGATGGTGGCCAGTATATGATCCGGAGGAATCACAGGAGTAGGGGTTATCTCCTCTCTAGATGGAGGGGAGAACTGTTGGGACAAGGCATCAGCCTGAATGTTTTTAGTACCGTAAGAAACCACATAATTGAATCTTGATAGGAAGAGAGCCCATCTAGCTTGCCTGGGGGAAAGTCGCTTAGCTTCGGAAAGATATGTCAGATTCTTGTGGTCTGTGAGGATGAGAATTGGCACTGAAGTATCCTCAAGAAGGTGCCTCCATTCTTTGAGAGCTAATATTATGGCTAGAAGTTCTCTATCACCAATCTGGTAATTGCATTCCGCCGGGTTTAATTTCTTCGAGAAATACCCGCATGGATGCCTGGAGCTCTCTGGGTTAGGACGTTGAGACAGGAGGGCGCCTACTCCTGTCTCAGACGCATCGACTTCAAGAATGAATGGTAAGGCAGGGTTAGGGTGTGCCAGTATAGGAGCAGCAGCAAAGGCGACTTTGAGAGACTCAAAAGGAAGAAATGGCTTCATGTGACCAATGCTGTGGGTCAGCATCTCTCCTGGTCATATCCGTGAGTGGTTTAACCAAGGAGGAAAAGTTGCGTATGAACTTCCGATAATAATTGGCGAAGCCAAGAAAACGCTGTATAGAGCGAAGACCCGTAGGTCGAGGCCATTTTAGTACAGCAGAAAGTTTTTCTGGGTCCATAGAGAATCCAGTATCAGAGATAACATAGCCCAAGAATGTGACCTGTTTGCAATTGAACTCACATTTCTCCAATTTACAGAACAGATTATTTTCTCTAAGTCTCTGTAGAACACTAGAAACGTCTGCGTGGTGGTTCTCGAGAGATGTGGAATGGATAAGAATATCATCAAGATAAACCACCACACATTGCTGCAGCATATCTCGCAGGACGTCATTTATAAATTCCTGGAAAACCGCCGGAGCGTTGCAAAGACCAAAGGGCATTACTAGGTATTCGTAATGCCCGCTCCTGGTGTTAAATGCGGTTTTCCATTCGTGGCCCTCTTTTATCCGGACGAGATTATATGCCCCTCTCAGATCAAGTTTAGTGAAGACCGTTGCTCCCTTGAGGCGGTCAAATAACTCAGTGATCAATGGAATGGGGTAGGCATTCTTAATAGTAATGCGATTGAGACCCCTATAGTCGATACAGGGTCTCAACTCACCACTCTTCTTTTTCACAAAGAAAAAGCCGGCCCCGGCAGGAGAAGATGACTTCCGAATGAATCCCTTTGACAACGCATCAGTAACATACTCCTCCATGGCTCGATTCTCTGCTACAGACAGCGGGTAAACCCGTCCACGGGGAGGATTGGCACCAGGTTGGAGTTCGATACCACAGTCATACGGACGGTGTGGTGGCAGAACGCTAGCTTGACCTTTGTCAAATACATCTTGGAATTCTTGGTACTCAGCGGGTAAGGAAGAGGCAGAAATTGTGCCCAAAACTTTGACCGGTTTCCAGAGACAGGAAAATGTGCATTGCTGGGACCAAGATAATATCTCAGATTTGCGCCAATCAATTGTGGGGTTATGCTTCTGTAGCCAAGGGTATCCTAAAATAAACTGGTAGTAAGGAGAGGAAATGACCTGGAATTGGATCATCTCATGATGTAGAGCCCCTACAGCCAGAGATATGGGTACGGTTTCCTGGGTCACGAGGGCTGGCTGTATAGGTCGGCCATCGATGGCTTCGAAAGCTAGTGGGGAGTTGCGAGGCTGTAAGGGTATAGAGTGCTCTGATGCAAATGCACAATCTATAAACAAGCCTGCGGCCCCAGAATCAAGAAATGCCCGGGTTTTAATGGATGACTCCGGCCAGGAGAGGATAATAGGCACCAAGGTTTTGTCCTTATTTATCTCTGGGTCTGCAGAAAGACCCCCCAAGATCTGCCCCTGACAGTATCTTGGGTACGGGCCCTTTACCGGACGAATCGGGCAAAACTTTAATATGTGACCGTGGTGTCCGCAGTATAGGCACAGGCCCTCCCTCCTCCTAAAGGCTCTCTCCTCGACAGAGAGGCGTGAGAAGCCTAACCGCCTCGGCTCCACACCGACAGAGGACTCAGGGCCAGGAGGCATGGGAGGTGAGGGAGGTTTGGGTGGGCAGGAAAAGCTCGGTGCCAAACCTACTGGAGGCCTCCGCAGGCGCTCCCTGGATGAGGATCTCTCTCGGAGTCTGATGTCAATGAGGGTGACAAATGATATCAGTTCCTCGAGATCTTTAGGTAATTCTCTGCCTGCAATCTCATTTTTCATTACATCGGATAGCCCCTGTGCAAAGGCAGCCACAAGAATCTCGTTATTCCAGCCACCCTCTGCTGCCATGGTACGGAATTCACTGGCATACTCAACAATAGTTTTTGTGCCCTGATTATTAGACATGAGTTGTTTGGCAGTAGGGGTGGAGCGAGCTGGAATATCAAAAACCCTTTTAAAGGACGCAACAAATTCAGGGTAATTGTAAATGATGGGCCTCTCTGCCTCCCAGAGAGGTTTTGCCCAAGCTAGGGCTTTTTCAGACAGCAAAGAAATCATGAACTGGACTTTGTCGCTGTCTGTAGGAAATGCCTGGGGCAGCATTTCAAGGTATCCTTTAACCTGATTTATAAATTCTTTGCACTGAGCTGGGTTGCCCCCAAAATACTGAGGGAGCGGGACAGACCCAGTCATTCCTCTAGCCGCAACAGGTTCAGAGGTTACAACTGGTGCTAGAACAGGAAGTGAGGCAGAGGCGGCCGCAATCGCAGGCTGGCCGGGTTTTGGATTCAGATTGGCATACTGGTCTAAATGGTGGTTCTGCTGGTCCCACCGGGTAAATAGGTTAGGTATAGGTGTATTGCCTGTACCATCTGTATTCATGGCCCTTGCGTAATGTCAGGAACCAGGAACCAGACAGAGACAGATCTAGATGCAAAAACACCTTTATTGAATAAACAACAAAGAAATCACCAAAAGCAAAGTCCAGGAGGCAAGCAGGGGTCAGTCACCAGAGCGGGTAGTCAGACGAGCCAGGATCAGGAGCACGGAGGTCAGCGGAGTCAGGAACAAGGCCAGAGTCAGGAACCAGGAGCAAACAGGAAACACAGGAACAAGGAGACTTCTGGGGGACAGGAAACCACGCAAGGGCAAGGAGGTTCTGGAATTTGCTGCTTAAATAGGCTGAAGTGATTAGCAGCAGGGTTGATTATTATTCTCAGGTGAGTAACCTTGGGCAACATGCTGAAGGAGCTGATAGTTAATTACAGCTGAAACCTCAGACACTGAAAAAGGAAGGGTGGCTGTTTAAAACAGCAAAGAAACCCTGACACAGTGGCGGGATGGCGTCCTAGTGCGAGGACCAGCAGCTCGGAGACACCGGTAACGTGTGGAGTTACGGATTTATAATTGAGGGCAACGCTAGCACTTGTGCAGCGACCCTGGCTTCAGAGGAACTCAAGGGATAGAGCTAGCTACGGGCAGCGTCCCTATCCACAGCAACATGGAAGAGGAGTTTCGCTGGAGGTTGCAGCAGCACTTGGCCCAACAGGACGGGCCTGTATCAGAGGAGTGCATACTGGACTGGAGAGATGTCACTCGTACGGAGATGTGGCACGATGCCCTGGAAAAGGTACAACGGCGGCGGGGAGAGAGCCTTCCCAGTGACGAGCAGCGGTTCCAGGTACTCGAGGCCCTGCGCTCCCCTTTCCTAGGGGAGCAACCCTTGGATGAATGGTTGTTGGAACTCTGGGATTTAATTTGGAAGGAGTTGTGGCTAGATGCAGCTTACCGGGCATTAAAGTGGTACGCCACCCAGCGCAACCCCTCGATGACTAACCACTATCTGCCCGAGGGAGAGGATTATAATGGCCCGGGCTTACTGTGGGAGGCCTATGAGGAGGGCGATGACTTTGGATGCCCCACAGAGTTTCGGTTCTGGGACATCCACAACATCAGGGAAACCCTGCTGGATCTTCCCCGAGCGGACGACCTGGGGCCAGACCTGAGTCATCTGGTCGCAATGGAGTGGGGGCTGGAGCAGAGCTACCGACGCCTGTTCAACTTAGCCCAATCACCGTCCCTCAGCCCAGAGGATTACCTGGACACCCTACCCTCTTCTGTCCAACCAGCCCCAGAGGTGAGCAACCTTATGGAACGGTCCTGGGAAGACCCACAGATGGCAGGTGGAGATGGAACCGAGGTCTCTCCACCTGCCCCACAGGGATGCTGGGTACCCGGCCCAGATCCCCAGCGGCAGTGTATCTCACAGGGAGAGGAGACAACCGGTCTCCCTTCCCAGCAGCAGCCTGAGTTCCAGGAGGAGGTGATGGTAGATCCCTCCCCCATACAGCAACCAGCGTCCTGGGGAGGGGAGGCAACCGGCCTCCCTCTCCTCCACCAACCAGAGGTACCTGAGGTAGTGGACCTCATAGACGTGTCCTGGGGACACACAGAGATGGCAAGCAGAGATGGGACCGAAGTCTCTCTGCCAGCCCTACAGGGATGCTGGGCAGTCAGCCCAGGTCCCCAGCGGCAGTATAATATACAGGGAGAGGAGACAACTGGTCTCTCTCCCCAGCGGCGGCCTGAGTTCCAGGAGGAGGTGATGGTCGATCCCTCCACCTTACAGCAACCAGCGTCCTGGGGAGGGGAGGCAACCGGCCTCCCTCTCCAACAGCAGCCGGAGGTGGGCGACCTCATAGACTTGTCCTGGGGACACACAGAGATGGCAAACGGAGATGGGACCAAAGTCTCTCTGCCTGCCCTAAAGGGATGCTGGGCAGTCAGCCCAGGTCCCCAGCGGCAGTATAATATACAGGGAGAGGAGACAACTGGTCTCTCTCCCCAGCGGCGGCCTGAGTTCCAGGAGGAGGTGATGGTCGATCCCTCCACCTTACAGCAACCAGCGTCCTGGGGAGTGGGGGCAACCAGCCTCCCCCTCCAACAGCAGCCAGAGATACCGGGAGAGGGGGAAGACAAACCTAACCACACTGGCGCAGATGGGACCGCGGTCTCTGTGCCAGTCCTACAGGGAGGCTGGACGGGCGGTCCAGATCCCCAACCAACCCCGCAGGGATGCCAGGAGGAGGAGGTAAGCAAAACTTCCCCTCCCCAGCTACATCCCAACCGGGTCCTGGGGGCAGTGGATGAGCCTGCGATACCCACTGACCCCCTCCCAGCAGAAGAGCTGGCATCTGGGCAGAGCTCTGTTAGCCTCTGCCCCCCCTTTTCCCCTGTATCAGAGCCTGACTTACCACGGGTTACCCCAGTGGAAGAGCTGGCAGCAGGGCAGAGCGCCGCTGGCCTCTGCCCCCCAAGCAACACCAGCAGTTTGCCTAGCTGCACCAGGGAGACCGAGAGTGCTGCGCTGTCCCACTACAAACTTGAACCTACAGGCCAGTACCATTTATTGTGGGGGGATTACTCTGTGTATTTTTCTTTGTGGGTGGGCTGCCCGACTAATCTAGGTACTGACCGGCAGAAGGTCAGGTACCTGTTTAGTCTTCCCCCCAAAGGGAAGATGTGTGACGAAGTGCCCTTCGCCACTTGTGCCTGGAGAGGACTGCTTGCCCTCCTCTTGCCCTGTGACTATGGCCCCTGGTTTGTATTGCCCTTTAAAAACATGATTTGGGCATAATGGATTTGTGTTGTGCTGCTGCTGGCCCTTTAAGAACCATCTGGGGACATACTGTGGAGTTACTGGGTGGCCACCATTTCCTGTATCAGAAGCACATGGTGAGAACAATGGATGGCGGCCATTTTAACTCACAGACACTGTTTGGACTTTTCAACACGGTGCCATCTTGCCAGTATTTGGTGCACAGAGACACAGTGGACTATACAGCAGGGGACACATTATAAAGTGATTGTTTTTCATTTAGCCTGTATATGTTCTGCAGAATCTGCATTAAACTGTATTTTCCAAAGTACTGAACGGATCTGGGTGAATTTTGGATATATGTTCCAAGGATATACTTTTTATGGGGTTATTGCATGTTTTGGGGTCCCTGTGTGTTTTATGAAACTGTATTATTTCTGGCCAGCAGATAATTGAGTTTTGTGTATTGTAGAAACTCAATTATCTAGCCTGGCCCAGAGGAGGAGTTTTGTGTTGCATAAATTGTGAGTTCTGTGTGCCAGTAAATCAGTCTTGTTCCAGCATTAAGCCTTGGCTCATGTTTGGGGGAAGGGATACCTACACTCTGGGGATTGCTATAATCACTTACTCCCCAGAGGAAGCTCTTGCAATAGCTTGATTTGTTCCTGTTCCTGCTCTCTGGGGAAAGAGAGGTTCACCCACTGGAAGCTGGATCCTGGCCTTGGGTCCAGGGTGGGTGGAAACAGCAGAGACCCCGGCGCAGTTGCATCGCTGGAAGTGGGGTCTGCAGTGCTGATGGTGTCGGTTGGAGTGCTTGGAGTCCTCAGCGAGCACTAGGAGCATCGATTGGCGGAGGTACTCAGTCGGAGTGCCAGCGTTCCGTCACAAGGGGTTAATAGCATTTTACTTTAGAGTATAGAATAGGTTTTGAGTTAAAGAGTTGTTTATATTTCATTTAAAGTGTGTATTTTAACTGTTGCAGGTATTTTAACTGTTTAGCCAAAGGAGAACAGTTACCAGTCAAGAGCCGGGTTGAACTACCAGTGGCCACACAAAAAACAGACACGGGCCTAACTCCTGGGCTTCTAACAATTCTTCATAAACAGGTACATAGAAGATTCTTACATTTGATTGAGGTGAAACTCAATACTTATTTTTCATGGAAAAGGGAATGCAATAAAGATTTTATTTCCATGGTTTTATGTTGATCTTCAGTAAACAATATTGTATATTGTCTAGCTCTGCCTTTTTCTGACATATAAACACAATCCTGTATCATGTAGTTAGAATGTATTTTTGTGTCCTCTACATGGAATCACAAATAAGCTTTGTTCTATTGCATACCCAAATAACAGCAATTTATATGATATTTTCAAAATGAATTTCGAATTTAAGGCCAATATAGCTGATCAGGAAGTATAATTGATTTAGAGAATGTTTCCAGATTGGCTGTTTTGGCCTTAAAATTCATTTTGACTTCACTTTCAATTCTCAGTTTAGTGAATAAACTTACATGCCAGTTGATCAGATACTCACAAATGATAGAGGTAAAATGATCACATCCGTGGTATTGTTGAGTAGACAGTGTATGTCAACTGCTAGCATTATTGCATTGTACTTCACTGGACTTTTCCCCATGAGTTAACTTGGATATTATATCTCTTTAGAGGTAATGCTTTACTGGTGAGTTGTAGGAAGGATTTTCTAATTTATTTGCTTGTTTTTTTTTTTTTTTATATTTGTTAGATTGCATAAGGCATTATTTAATACATTGATACTTTAAAAGATTTCTAGTGAAAACGTATTGAACAGCTTACATAGAGGTGGGATGCTTTTTGAGCTCGTCTATGTCTGAATAACAGTACATCCCCTAATTTTGGCGTCAGTTTAGGATCCCTGCATTTTGCAAAGCTCTAACTGTGCCATACACCATGCTATCTCATAATGCATCATAATGAAAAACACCCGATTCCCTGTCCTAGAGTTCTTAGGTTGTTGATAAATCTTCAACTGCCTTGTCTGTCTGATTACAGTCAGAGGAAATGGAGATTGATCACTCTAGAAGGATGATTAGATAGGAGTTGTCAGGCTGGAACTCACACTTCCCCCAAATTGCCTCATAACCAGTGTGGTTAATGATATCATGTTTGGCCTTCTTACTGTAATGTGACCTTCCCCCTATTGAACTTGGCATATTGTACAAGTTTGCTGACTGAAACAACATTGTGTTCCATCGTGTTAGGTGCATCTCTGGCTCTAAAAACACCTGGGGCTTGATCCCAAATCCTCTGTCACTGTTTACAGCCTTGTCAAGCCATTGAGACAATTGAAGGAAAAGCTACCCTAGACAGGGACGCCATCAGGCTGTAAAAAAACTCTCTTTTGTTGTCAACAGTTTAGGTATTAATGGCTGTGTGTTGAGTTATTTTGAGGTGACAGCACATTTACACTGTTACATAGGCTGTGCATTTACTACTTTACATTGTAGCAGAGTGTAATTTCTTCAGTGTTGTCACATGAAAAGATATAATAAAATATTTACAAAAATGTGAGGGGTGTACTCACTTTTGTGAGATACTGTATGTCAGTATGTGTCTGTATGTATGTCAGTATATGTATGTGTCTATGTATGTGTGTATGTAAGTATGTGTATTTTTGAAATTGTATGTCAGTATGTATGTGTGTATTTATATCAGTATATATATGTGTGTATGTGTGTATGTATGTATGTATGTATGTATGTGTGTGTATGTCTGTATGTCCTAATGCATGTGTGTGTTGTGTGTGTCTGTATCTATGTTAGTATGTGTCTGTGTGTCACTATGTATGTCTGTGTGTCTGTATATGTGTGTTTGTTTCAGTATGTGTGTCTGTTAGGATGTATGTATGTATCGTTGTTTGTGTGTATCTGTGTCCTTTTGTATCAGTGCGTGTGTTTGTGTCTGTGTGTGTATTCCTGTGGGGCAGGCCCTGGAGTGGGCTTGGAGGCTGTCCACGGGGGGCCCAGACCTTGAGCTGTGTTAGAAGCCCCAAAATTTCTGATGGCGTCCCTGACCCTAGAGTTCCACAGTGGTACAAATCTTCTGTTTAGAATCTACAGTGCCACTGCAAGGAAATAAAGCACTGGTATTAGTAGGAGGAATTGTAGCATTATTTAGAAATGTAAATGACAAATATCCCATGATGGGATATGGGGATAATGAGCAACACATCTGGGGTTTAACCCCTAAAGCCCCACTAGCATTGTCCATGCACGACTTTAAAAGGGATATATATCTCAATAATACATAAGAAATTACATTTTGCATGGTGCTTAAAATTGCTAAGGAACAGTTAACTTTTTCATGGAACAGTTAAATTCATGTTTAGTAAGGTAAAGATAATGGTTCGAAACACAAAAGCCTATTTGCGGTTGAAGGAAACAGATTTCACCTACGATCTAATTTCCTGTTAATACTATGTTATTGCATACATATATATGCATGGTATCGTCCGACAGTTTTTGCAGGTATACATAATCAATTCATACTTTGGCCCTTTGAATTGAGTTATAGAAAATTTACATAAAATATTGCAAAGTAGTGTAAAATCCCATTTTTATATTACGCAACTTGCTGTTCTGCAATACTATTGCAATAAGGAACCTAGTGCTCTAAAAAATCTTAATTTGTAAATTCTTCCCCCCTCCCCACTTATTTTCAGTTATCCTACAAGATTTTTGTAATTGAAGATGAATTAAAAGAAAAGTGGAATGATCTCAGCTTACCTCAAGAGCAATTGCAATGTATTTTGGCGCTGGATAACTTCGAGAGAGATGTAGAGTGGATGAAATTTCTAGGTCTTGCCTGTAGCACTCTTGGAGGGGTTTGTATACTAATATTGCTATTTATGAAAAAAAAAGAATGTTCTGATGTGCTTTATATATAACATACATAATCTAGCGCACTCAACTTTTAACGCTTTTCAAAGCTCGCAAAATGTTAGTTTCAGAAATAATCTGGATTTAATTACAGTATGTATTGATACATTGTATAATCCATTTCACCCCATTTCTGGCAGGTCCATCCAACGCTCTATTTCATTTGAAATTTCTTTGTGCCCTTAGTTATTAGCAACAAAAACAGAATATGAGAACTGGCAAAAGCTCAGAGAGCCTCAATAACTTGCCCTTTGGTTAGTCCCCACTCATGTTTTAAAAAGGTTTTTGCTCACTTGTGCCATGACAGAGAGAACTAATGCTATTTGCATTTCAGACTGATCCCAACAATTAGGGCAGTCTAGATCTGAAATGCTGAAAAGTTGATCTCTGATCAGTCTGATCTCTCCTTGGGCCAAGAAGCTTTTAACACACATATTAAATATTATATTCCTGAATATTATGCTTTTGCAAGAAATCATCCAGTCGCTGTTTAAAAAATCTGTACAGAGTCTGATAAAATCCTCTTTTCAGGCAGATAGTTCCACATCATTACTCTTCTTACTATAAAGGATCCTGGCCTTTGCCTTAGACTAAATCACCATTTGACCAGTCTACATGGGTGACCTTGTATCCTAAGTATAGTATACATACATATCCTATGTATAGTGCATATACAGGTGTGCTTACAAATTTGCATACCCTTTGAGAATTGGTAATATATGTACCATTTTTCAAGAAAACACGTGTGCAGGCAAAATACATTTCTTTTATTTCTTATGGGATTCATATTCAACTGTAGGTTATAACAAAATGGCACAATCATAAAACAAAACATGGCAACAAAGAAGAAAATGAAATGACCCCTGTTAAAAAGTCTGAATACCCTTAGTTCTTAATACTGTGTATTGCCCCCTTCAGCATCAATGACAGCGTGCAGTCTTTTATAATAGTTGTCTATGAGGCCCCTAATTCTTGCAGGTGGTATTTACTGTATGGGAAGGGAATTCTCCCTTCCCATAAAGTAAAAAATAATTTGGGGTTTTCCTCTGCACTACCCCAACCCCTTTTGTTAGGGAAATTACATGAACATACTGACATTCGTCTTGGCAAAATGCCTCCAGGTCATGCACTACTTTGGTTATCTTGCATGAACCGCATGTTTGAGATTACCCCAAAGAGACTTGATGATATTAAGGTCAGGAGACTGTGATGGCCACTCTAAAACCTTCACCCTTTTCTTCTGTAACCACTGTAACTTGGCCTTGGTCATTGTCATGCTGGAAAGTGCAAAACTGTCCCATGTGTAGCCTTCATGTAGAAGAATGCAAATTGTCTGCCAGTATTTTCTGATAACATGCTGCATTCATCTTGCCATCAATTTTCACAAGATTCCCCATGCCTTTAGAGCTCACACCCCCACCCTCAAAACATCAGTGAGCCACCACCATGCTTCACAGTGGGGATGGTATTCTTTTCACCATAGGCTTTGTTGACCACTCTCCAAGCATAGCACTTATGGTTGTGCCATAAGGAGTGTCAAGGTGTTGTTGGGCATATTGTAACTGAGCTTTTTTGTGGCATTGGTGCAGTAAAGGCTTCCTTCTGGCGACTCGACCATGCAGCTCATTTTTATTCAAGCATGTTGTATTGTGCTCCTTGAAACAACCACACCATCCATTTTCCAGAGTTGCCTGTGTTTCTCCTGAGGTTACTTGTGGGTTTTTCTTTGTATCCTGAACAATTTTTCTGGCAGTTGTGGCTGAAATCTTTCTTGGTCTACCTGACTTTGTCTTGGTATCAAGAGATCCATGGATTTGGATATCTTTTTATATCCTTTTCCATTTTTATAAAGTTTCATTGCCTTGTTACGCAGGTCTTTTGACAGTTCTTTTCTGCTCCCCATGGCTCAATATCTAGCCACCTCAGAGCATCCATGTGAGAGCTAACAAACTCATTGACTATTTATACACAGACACTAATTGCAATTTAAAAAACCACAGAAGTGGGAAATTAACCTTTACTTGCCATTTTAATCTGTGTGTCTGTAACAAGGCCAAACATTCAAGGGTATGTAACGTTTTGATCAGGGCCCATTGGGTGATTTCTGTTATCATTATGATTTAAAAAGGAGCCAAACAACTATGTGATAATAAAAGGCTTCATATGATCATTATCCTTCAATAAAATATATATTTTTTTGCATGATCAGTCATATTTTCAAAATCAATGCCAAAATTTCTAAATTTCTGCATTGTAGGCAAATTGTGAGCACAGCTGTATATATAACCAGCCAATAGTTTGTTTTGGCCTCAGATATATTTGTATAATGTACATTTGTTATCATATCCCCTCTGAGGTGCTGTTGTTCTCTACTAAACAGAATTAAATGTGTTAGCATTTCTTCTTAACTAAAATCTTCCATTCCCAGAGAAGTACCTAATGTTACCCAGGACGGAAATGTATTTTGGAATCCTCCCTTCCCATTAGTAAAAAAAGAATTTGGGGTTTCCCCCTGCACTAACCCAACCCCTTTTATTAGGGAAATTATTTGAACATTAATATACATACACATTCATATTCACACATACTTGTATTCATGTCACACATGCATTCATATACACACACAGACACACATATTGATATACAAACACACACGTTCATATACACTGCCAAACTCATATACACACACATTCATATACACACACAGACTCATATATACACTTAGAATTACATACATACACACACACAAACATAAACACACACATTTGCTTAACTTTTCTTTTCATGTTTTTACCTTGACAAGTAGTGCTGGAGTGGTACCCGATCCCTGGTGTCCACTGGGTGCTGCTAAGATCAGTCTCTATACTGATTGTCCAGTTCCCTTCTGCTGTGTTCTGTTTCCAGGGCTGGAATGGCATCATATCCTGGCTCCAGCAACTGTACATTGTGAGCGAGGGAGCTGGGAAACCAGGGCAGAGTGATCCCAGCAGCTGCCTTGGCGCCAGCACTGCAAGCACAGCTGCAGAGTAGATACCTGCCAAGCAACGTGCCAGTCGGCAGGTAACTGCTTTGGTGGTATTGAGGTGTTCTGTGCACCCTCCTGACATCCATCCTCCTCTTAATATGCCTTTGTCCATTCCACTTATTAATTTTGCAGCCGGCCTCTGCACTTTTTTTGGAACATGTGCCCAAAATGGCACAGTGTATTTATAGTTTGGTTTTACTATTAATTTATAAAGAAGCAAAATTATATTTTTGGCTCAAGAATAAATGCCCCTTTTAGTGCATGATAACACCTTACTGGCCTTAGCAGCTTTCGATGACATTGAACTTTGTTGCCTGGTTTCTTGTCTATAACTATTCCCAATCCTCCTCATGTGTTGCTTTCCCTAACTCACTACTTTTTAAAACAATTTTTTTTGGACACTTAAACTCTATAGATGTTCAAAGGGGAGAGGGATACAGAAAACATGGGTGTGTAATAAGGGTATCACCTCACAATGGTACACTTAAAACATGTCAAGTTCACAAGGAGCGCAGTCAGCATTTGTCATTATAAGGTCAAACTCACAGAGAATTTTCATATTATATATTAAGGACATAATTCAGAATTATATGTACCAAAACACCATAAATCATAATTCTCTCTCCTATTCCTCCACCTCACCCAAAAGGCAAAACTTTTAAGCCACCGCCAGTATTTACAACTGATCTCCATGCTCACTACAGTGACCATGTCTTAGGAAATGTTTTTGTTGGTGTATATATGGCCTATAGCTTTATTGGGCTGTGTAGAGATTTATTTTTAGTATTTCAATGAAAACCCCAATAGTATATATGTTAAAGGCGTAAAAGGTAATTATAAGACTGGTCACCTCAGTAACTGTGTGATGGCCTCCAAAAAAGGTTAAATCCGAGAACAGTTCCACCAGATATGAATCATGGAACCTTCCTCTTGACCACATCCCCAACACGTGGAAGATGCCGTTGGATACAAAGAAAAAGATAAGAGATGATCTTACCACAAGGGAGATCAAATCTTAGATCGTTACCACCCCAAATAAAATAATAATTCATTAGACAGAACTAATAAAATCAAAAATACTTTATTGTATAACACTATGCCATACATACAATATAACATAGAAGACAAATAGTGATTTAATAGTGCAAAATTAGTGAATTATGGTGTTTAAAAAAGGAACCAAAGAATCTTAAATTTTAAATATTTTGATATTTCAACTATTAGACAAAGGGAAACCACAGTGTTAAAATTGAATTTCCAGGTCTAAGTAGATTAGATTAGAGTATATGTTAAAGTTGATTAAGGATATTTAGATACATGTGAAAAAAAGTTGAGAATATTTGATTTTATAGGTAAGAGAGACATTGTATCAAAATTGGAAATTCACACGGATGTTTCTGACAATAACTAATACATCCCTTTAGAATTCGATTTGCAGTGAGTTTACAGCTTGTTTGGGGATTTCCCAGTCACGAACAGAAACCTACCCAGGTTATTTTAAGGGATTTTTTTTATAAATATAGAAAGGTACATGTAACATAGAAATAGTTAATAATGATTTCCAAGTAACTGTGTCATTTTTGAGTCACCCAGTCATTGAGAGGCTAGCGTACTGCCAGAGGGGCCACAATTATGGTACCCAAACGTCCACTTATCTACATCAGATTTAGGAGACATACTTTGAGTCTATATGAATACCATCAAGAAGATAGCACTGTGTTTTGTACTAAAGATTTGAAGTGAGTGGTGCCCAACATAAGTGTGACGAAGTGCCCTTCGCCACTTGTTCTTGAAGAGGAGTAATGGCTAACCTTTTGCCCTGTGATTATGGCCCCTGTGACTTATTGGATTTTAAAACACTTTTTCTGCCCTTTTAAACCCATGGGAAAATGTGCCTCTTCCCCTCCCCCTTTTTCCTGTCCATTGTTCCCTAGCAGGGCGTTGTCCCAGGGACACTGCCAGACCGGTTGAGACTGGCTGCTTTGTCCCTCCTCAATCTCTCATCAGCCCTTGCTATTGTTTGGCCCCATGGCGATCCAACTGTATTCGTGAGATCTGAGCACTTTTCTGACATATTGAACGCTCAGATCCAAGCTATCTGGAGATATGTTGGACATATAGGTTGAACATTGTATCATGGGAGTTAAGTATTTTTGTGTGGTTTTTGTGACAGTTTTTGTTACTGGAGATAATTGGCTTACCACAGCCACTTAAGCCAATTATCTCCAGGATAGAGGAGAAGATAGATCGGCCGCACAGCCCAAATCTGTGGAACTATTTTGGACATGAAAGCCATGCTTGCGGTCGGTCAAATGTGACTTCCACAAAACGTTTGAACCCCTGCTCTGATCTTGGTGATTTTTGGATATGTTATTCACCCAGATCAGGATGTAATTTGTGGGGTTATGTGGCGTTTTGGGGTGTTTTCTGTGTTTTGTGAAAAATGCGTGTTTTCTGCCTGTGGGTAATTGAGTTAGTCCACTGTGTTTGTTAATTATATCACAGGCAGAGGGGAGGGTTTGTGTACATTATCTGGGAGTGCCTAACTGTACAAGAGTGTTTTGATTGGCTTTGTAACTTTGTGTCCTGTGTACCACAAGGTCCACATGGGCGGTAATCTTGTGGGAAAACCTGTATAAAAGAGACAATAAACCCTCAGTTCATTCTGTTCCTGTTTGACCCTCAACAGGTAGTCTTGTCTCGTGATTGGAGGGGAACTGCTATAATCACACTGGGGATTGCTATACTTTGTATACTTCCCTGAGCTCTAATCACTTAGCTCTTTTAAGAGCTGTTCCTGATACACTCTCCTGGAGGAGAGGTCTTTTCCACACAGTCCTGGAGGACAGAGGCTGATCCAGGGTGGAAAGAAGACGGCAAGACTCCAGTTAAGCTACAGCGGTTGTGGAGTCTGCGGTGGTTGTGGTGTCCAGTGCAGTGCTTATGGTCCTCGGCGTCAGCTAGGAAGCGTCCGTCAATGGAGGTGCCCAGTTGGGGTGCCAGGTGATCCGTTACAATAAGTGTCTAATAAATCCACTTACTAAGGGTATCATGAAAGAGTTAAAAACCCTTGTTTTCACTTACCTGACTCCAGCACCAAGGTGAACTCCTCCTGCTATCTCTCCAATAGAAGAAGCTAGTGTGCATGCGCAGTGAATACCAAGTGCGCATTAGGCCTTCCCCCTTTCAAAGCAGTGACTCAATGCATTCTTATTGGCATTTTTTAGACACTGGACATCCTCATGCTGGATGTAGTTTCACAGAGTTAAACCTTGTGAAGCAGCAGGAAGCACCTCTAGTGGTTAGTTAGCTAACACAGTGATGTAATTATTGCAGTTTCTCAGAAACTTCAGTGTTTTACATTACAGGGTTAAACCAGACAGGGGCACTGAACCCAGACCACTTCAATGAGATGAAGTGGTCTGGGTGCCAATAGTGTCTATAGACTACTTAAAGCAACTCCAAGTGGTTTCTGCAGATAGAATTACATTGCGGACATTTGCCTGCCTCTCCTTTTGACCCTGGTATAAATGATCTGTTCACAGTCTTTAGTGCTTCAGCTGTGCACATGCTTGCGTACGACAACATAATCTAAAATGGCAAGCCAAATATCAAATAATTTAAAAGCATTTTCAGAAGATGAAAGGTCACCCACTATAAATACGGTTTCTAATTTCTTAAATATTGACCAAACCAAAGGAACACCTTTACTTACTAACTGGACATTACTAGTAAATGGTGTACTGTGTCCAGTCAAGCCCAATAATAACAAGTTGTGCTGGAGCTTGTTAGCAGGCAATGAGATTGCACTCAAAGACATTTCATTTGGAGCAATATAATGGCTTAAATCCATAATTTTACTGTAAAATAGTTTGGAGGCTTTTGTGCCAGATGTCTGCCCCATTTACAATTATATAGACCTCAATGCCAGCTGAAATGCCTACATTACTAATTTTTCTGAGTAACGTATTCTGTTAATAGTGTAAGCACAGGCAGGGAACCATAGAGTAAATTACTTACTGGAACTATCAATCTTTCTTATTTTACTGTATATCAGAAAATCACTTTACTCCTGTAAAACCAAGCTCTGTCTAATGTGCTAGTCTCAAAGGATCAAGTCTGACATCTATAAGCAATGTTAATATGCTGCATTGTAACAGGACCTTCATAAAGTCCTTTGTCCCAACAATTCCTTTGCTGAAACTCGGGAACTCATTATAGAGGCAAATGCTTCATCAAGGTCAGTAAGAGGAATGTCACCAAATTATCTGATCTAAGTTGTCAAAAGGCATTTTCCAGATGGCTCCTGATAAAACAGATTTCCACAGGTGTATCATGAGCCCCCTGGTATCAGTTAGAGCTGTCAGCATTATATTTAGCTGTTGAAATAGGAGTTTGCAGTTTGTCAGCAGGATACAAGCCATCTTTGATAACCATAAATGAATTTAGAAAGCTATTCATATCTACTCCCGGAGACTTGATACAATCCCAGTGCATTAAATATTGTGATACATAACTGATACCTTCAAGGTTTCTGAAAGCAAACCAGTTTACAGTACTTTGCAATTTCCAATTATTGTGAACATTATTTTCTATATATCCATAAGGATGATAACAATTACATTTAAAATCTCTATTGCATAGTTACACGGGCTGAAAAACGACTTCCATCCATCAAGTTTGGCTTTTTTCATATTCGTTTCTGCAGTTAATAAAAAAAAAAAAAAAAGGCAAACAACCCAGTCTAAAGCACTTTCCAATTTTGCAACAAACAAGGAACAAATTCCATCTCGACCCCAATATGGTAGTCAGATCTGCCATTAGGGTGTGACAATCATGTCTTGGGCCTGGCAGTCTTGAGGAGCCCAGACTGCTCGGGGAGTACATAAAGATCAGGGTGGCTTGTAAGGGGCTCAGCCCCCATACTGTGCATAAGTATTTCTATAGAGCTGCGGGGAAAGGGAGATCAAAGGTGTCCCTCCCCGTGCCACTACATTCTTCCCTGCTTAGAGAGGACACTGCTCACAGTGTATTACAGTGTATTGCCTTTACTATTTTTGTGTCATCCTCAAACACTGGCAAATGAGTTTCAATTCTTTTAAACAACTTTTACAACTCTCTGTACTCTATCTTTAAGCCAATGTTCTCTCCAAGAACAAGAATTTCATCTATACTTCGTTTCATTTAAACCCTAACCTATTTTGTGGAATTGTATCAAATGGCTTTGGAAAATCCAAGGATATTATATCCACTGCAACACCATGATCAATCTATCTATATTAAACTGATCTTCTTTCTTTGTAGTATGCAATTCAGTTATTTTCTGTAATTTGTTTGAAGATATTCCATATATTCCTTCTTTTTTTTCCATCAATAAAGATTTTATGCCAGTTGAATAAAATAAAAACTTGAATATTGACAATCAGAAAATCAGCATGGTTTGTTATAATCAGAACCAGACAAGAATCCCTTTCTAGTGGGTGCTTCTATCAATTGTTACATGTAGGTGTCATTTAACAGGTTCAAAAGTTTTTGATTTCTCTTGGTGATGTACTAGTCCCTCTATCCCAATTTATGTCTTGGTAATTGAAGTGTTACGCAGATGTGCAACTTTTCTAATTTGTTTCCTAAAACAAAGCAGGAAAGCTGCACATTTATTAATCCTCATCAGTGTCAATATTAGGTGGTTTATAACATATGCCAACTAATAATTGATTTCCCCTCTTTTGCCCCAAGCAGACACATAAAGCATCCACAATTTCCCAATTTTTCTTGTCCCATATTACTTGCATAATATGTGGCTTCCACTCATGGTTGACATATAAACATACCCGTCCACCCAGAGGCATAACAAGAAATCACTGAGCCCCAGTGCGAAAACTGCCCTTGGGCCCCCCCATATGTCTCATCCCTCCCACTCCATTCACACGATTAATTCCCTCCCCCATAACCCTTCCATGCATCTCATTCTTCCCTAGCCCCTCAATGAATCTCATTCCCCCCCAGCCCATTCATGCATCTCATTCCCTTCCCCATAGCCCCTCCATGCGTCTCTTTCCTCCCTAGCAACCGCATGTGTCTCATACCTTCCAGCCCCTCCACTTGACTCATTCCCTCCCCCATAACCCCTCATTTCTCCCCCAACCCTTCTGTGGCTCTCAATCCACCCAGCCCCTCCATGCATCTAATTATTCCCTAGCCCCTCCGTGAATCTCATTCCCTTCCCCCATAGCCGCTCCATGCATCTCATTCCTCCCTAGCCCCTCCATGCATCTAATTTCTCTCCCAGACCCCCCATGTGTGTTATTCCCAAGCCCCTCCTCCCCCCCCCCGTGACTGTGATATGGCCCAGAAGGTATGCAGGCCACCCACAGTCCCAGAGGTCATGGCTGCGGCCGGATCCTCTGGAGTGATTGGCCTTGTCGACCCCTGCAGCCATGGTAGGTCCCAAAACTTCCACCTTTCCTATTTTTTTTTCTATTCTTTCTAAATGACATGTGACCATTTAAGTTAACTGCTCTGTAGTGTTTCATATCTCAATTATGCCTATTATGACATGTTGTTTAGTGTATACTGTTGCCTGTAGTTCCCCTTTTTTGTTATTTAGGCTTCTTATATTAGCATGCATACATTTAATATTGTCTTGAGCCACTTGTACTGTATGTAAATTTGTATTGCATAATTCTTCTGTTCTGATCTCCACTCCCTTGCCCTAGCTAAATCCCATTGTCTTTCTGTTCTATCCTAACTTTGTAGACTTCAATGTTCCTCTCTCTTAGCACTAGTTAACAAACTCCTCCCATCTTCTGGCACACTGTCCCCGGCAGAGCTGGGGAGAGAAATAGAGAGCTAGAGAGAGACTGCAATAGTAAGGAATACCTATACATGCGTCATTAATGCTGCAGTAATTTCCAGGACTATGGCCTTATCCTCTATTTTTAACCCCTTATTGACCGCACCGTTTTTACATTTTCCTACTATTAAGGACCAGGGCTGTTTTTACATTTCTACAGTGTTTGTGTTTAGCTGTATTTTCCTCTTACTCATTGACTGTACCCAAACATTGCTGTTTCAAAATATATATTTTTTTAAATGTATCAATAGTGACATTGTAACACTGTTATCTGTCATAAATCTCTGAATCACACCTCACGTGTACATATATTTTTTTAAAGGGACACTATAGTCACCTAGACAACTTCAGCTCAATGAAGTGATCTGGGTGCCAGGTCCCTCAGGTTTTAACCCTTCAGATGCAAACATAGCAGTTTCAGAGAAACTGCTATGTTTGCATTTGGGGTTAAGCCAGCCTCTAGTGGCTGTCTTCCGGACAGCTACTAGAGGCGCATCTGCGACGCTGGAGGCATATTATGCCTCCATCTCGCAGAGCGTCCATAGGAAAGCATGCTTTCCTATGGACACTTTGAATGCGCGCGCGGGACTTGCCGCGCATGCGCATTCGGCTCCACTGACGTTGAACGGGGGAGCAGACGTCGGCAGGGGAGGAGAGGAATAAGGAATAAGGTAAGCTGCTGAAGGGGTTTTAACCCTCAGGGCACTATAGTGTCAGGAAAACCGCTTTGTTTTCCTGACACTATAGTGATCCTTTAAAGTAGACAACCCAGGATATTCAATATGTGGTATGTCCAGTCTTTTTAAGTAACCACTTAGTCACAAACATTGGCCAAAGTTAGCATTTATATTAGCATTTATATTTGTTTGTGTGTTAAAAATGCAAAAAAAAAAATGAACGCTAACTATGGCCAGTGTTTGTGACTAAATGGCTATCAAAAAATAATGAACACACCCCATTTGCAATACCTTGGGTTTTCTTCTTTTGCAAATGGTATGCCATCATCGGGGTAATTCTCATTCCTGGGCTACCATGCACTCTCAAAGGCAACATAACCAATCTGGCAAATTTCAATGTGAAAAAACGGAAAATCAAGCCATATATTTTACCCCGTAACTTTCAAAAATACTATAAAACCTGTACATGGGGGGTTACTGTTATACTCTGGAAACTTCGCTGAACACAAATATTAGTGTTTCAAAACAGTAAAACGTATCATAACAATGATATCATCAGTGAAAGTGCTGTATGTGTGTTTGAAGAATTCAAAATTCCACTTTCACTGACAATATCATCGCTGTGATATGTTTTACTGTTTTGAAACACTAATATTTGTGTTTAGCAAAGTATCTCGAGTAAAACAGTACCCACCATGTGCAGGTTTTAGGGTGTAATAGAAAGTTACAGGGTTAAATATAGTGCTAGCAAATTAAATTATCTGGACTTTCGGCCTGGGTTGTCAGACAGGTCCCTCAAATTGCAATCAATAAAATTATTTAATTATATAAAAATATTACATAAATGTGCACGTAGAATTTAAATCTAGATACATATTTATATATTTGAAGTCTAAGTGTATATTTATGAAATTATCTATGTAATTATGTATATGGATATACACCCTGTTCCAAATTATTATGCAAATTGTATTTAAGTGTCACAAAGATAAAATATTTTGTTTTTCAGTTTAACTCATGGATGGCATTGTGTCTCAGGGCTCTTTTGATCACTAAAAACAATCCCAGACACCTGTGATAATTAGATTGCCAGGTGAGCCCAATTTAAGGAAAAACTACTAAAGGAGGGTGTTCCACATTATTAAGCAGAGCACCATTTTCATGCAATATGGGGAAGAAAAAAGATCTCTCTGCTGCCGAAAAGAGTGAAATAGTTCAATGCCTTGGATGAGGTATGAAAACATTACATATTTCACAAAAACTTAAGCGTGATCATCGCACTATTAAGAGATTTGTGGCTGATTCAGAGCACAGATGGGTCCGTGCAGATAAAGGCACATTGAGGAAGATTTCTGCCAGATGCATGCATCGGATCAAGAGAGCAGCTGCTAAAATTACATAGCAGCAAACAGATATTTGAAGCTGCTGGTTCCTCTGGAGTCCCACGGACATTAAGGTGTAGAGTCCTCCAGAGTCTTGCAACTGTGCATAAACCTTCTATTCGGCCACCACTAACCAATGCTCACAAGCAGAAACGGCTGCATTGGGCAGAAAAATACATGAAGACTAAGTTTCAAACAGTCCTGTTCACTGATGAGTGCCGTGCAACCCGGGATGGTCCAGATGGATGGAGTAGTGGATGGTTGGTGGACGGCCACCCTGTTCCAACAAGGCTGCGACGTCAGCAAGTCGGTGGTGGAGTCATGTTTCGGGCCGGAATCATGGGAAGAGAGCTGGTCGGCCCCTTTAGGGTCCCCGAAGGTGTAAAGATGACCTCTGCAAAGTATGTGGAGTTTCTGACTGACCACTTTCTTCCCTGGTACAGAAGGAAGAACTATGCTTTCCGTAATAAAATCATCTTCATGCATGACAATGCACCCTCTCATGCTGCAAAGAATACCTCTGCATCAATGGCTGCTATGGGGATAAAAGGAGAGAAAGTCATGGTGTGACCTCCATCCTCACCTGACCTCAATACTATTGAGAACCTTTGGAGCATCCTCAAGCAAAAGATCTATGAGGGTGGTAGGCAGTTTACATCCAAACAGCAGCTCTGGGTGGCTATTCTGACATCTTGCAAACAAATTTAAGCAGAAACTGTCCAAAAACAGTTCAATGGATGCAAGACTTGTGAAGCTGCTATCAAATAAGGGGTCCTATGTTAAAATGTAACGTGACCTGTTAAAATGTTTAAAAAGTTAAAATGTTGTTATAAGTTTGATTGAAATAGTTTTTGATTTCAGTAAATATGCTGAAAACACAACAAATGACAATTTTCAGTTCTTTACAACCTATAAAGTGTTTTGAAACTTACTGTGTGTAATAATTTGGAACAGTGCATTGTAAGTTTTTTATGTTTAAAAAAAATACTGTTATCATTAGGAGGTTTGTTCAATAAAATTTGAATTGTACTCTTAATAGATGATAACATGAGAATTATGCTGACTGTTATTTACAGAAATTATTTAGGTAAATTAGAGAAATATCATTTGCATAATAATTTGGAACAGGGTGTATATATATATATATATTTCGTATTATTTTTATTTATTTAATATAAATATATATTTATATATCATTTCATTTTAAGTGTATTTTGATATATATATATATTTATTTATATAAAAATACAGTTAGAATAAAGTTACATATATATATATATATATATAGTTTTTACATATATACGTGTGTAATTTAATTCTAAGTGTATTTTTATATTAATATATGTATATGTCAATATAAAAATACACTTAGTATGACATTATATATTTTTATATATATATATATTATTTAGATATAATATATGTATATATATATTTTTATTTTTATGTATATATATTTACTAACATTTTACCATTTTACATATGCAGGGGGACTGCCTGTCAGTTCAGGCAGCCCCCCTGGAGGCAGCACTATGGACGCCTATTGCGGCCATGTTACCGCTCTTTCAGAGCGATCACATGGCCCATGGTGGCCTAATTTGCTAATGGGCAAAAAAGGAGGAAAACCGTATCATAACAATAACAAGTATAAGTAAGAAGGACTGCGAGGACGTACTAGGTATATCCGCAGTTGTTAACAACCATTTTGTCGGACGTACCTAGTACGTCCTCGGTCCTTAAAGGGTTAAATCTAGATCTATGGTGGGCTATAATAGGAATCCAACCCTGAGGAGTATGCTGTTCACACAGACAAATGGATAAATGGTTCTTCCTTTTTTTTGGCTTATATCCTTCTCCTATGTGTAGGGGTTACCCCAATCCTGACAGTAGAGCACGAATTTCATGAACTGACATGTGGCATCCTCTAACTATGCAATGTGTAAATAACTGAGCTCTTCAGGACCACCAATTGTATTGCCAATGTTTGTCTGTGGAGATGTATGTCCTGAATTTTGTGCAATTGTTTGCAATGTGTGATACTGAAACTCCTGAACTCAATAATTATTAAGATTGGCCCTATAATGTATATTATGTAAAACAGCCTGACAAGTTGCAAGTGTGCATTTGTTGGTATATTTCCTGAATTATAACGCAAGACATCTGAGTTAGTATGATGAAGCCTATTCCCACAATACTGTGGAGGTCAACACTATTTTGTCCTTTTGTTCTCTCATATAGAGTATAACTTCTGCTTTGAAGCATGCCTGTGAAATTCTTACACAAGATCCAGAAGGTGGTGCTGCTCGCATTCCTTTTACGACATTCACTTTCCTGTACAAGTATTTGGCTAAAATTGATGGGGACATTTCAGACACAGTAGTAGAGAATGCACTTTGTGCTCTGCAGACAGAAGCGTAAGTACAATGTGTAACGTGTAAGAGAATAAGTGTGACATTTAGTATTCTATACAGGTTTAATAGGGGATTCTTGAGAATATTTTCACTGCCTCTCTATATTTCTCAATATTGTTATATGAGGGTTATAATGGATTATGGAACTAACCATGCTATGCAAATCATATGAACCTACTTCCATTTACAAACTGTATATTATATAAAGTGTATATCTTACCACTAGAAGACATCTTATACATAAATATATTAGGATCAGACTAATTAACCAACAGGAACCTTTGACTTATGCCAGTTTTACAAATATCCTGATGTATAATATTAATATTTCCCAAATTTAGGGTTTAATGATCTTGTCATAATCTGGGTTATTCACTGAAGTGAGAATTTTTGGAAATTCAAGCAGGGTTATTTACTGAACTGACAATTCAAAAAAATATTTAATTTTAATCCTCACTTAGTGAATAACATGAAAGTGAATATCAAATTAAAGATCAATGTAGTCAAACTACAATTTTTTGGCGTAAAATTTTAAATTTACTTTGAATTCCTTAAAATTCTCAGTTTAGTGAATGCAAGTGATACCAACAAGCTGCAAATCGTTAAAATGGGTATTGTTAACATTAACAAGTAGCAGCTCTATCCATACTACAAAATCATACCAATTGTCTATCTCAAAATATATCAACAAATAATTAATAAAGAAAGCAAAGACCAGAGACATGAATTGCAAAATATGTTTATTTAAGTAAGGTGTATGTATCATTAAAATAAACAATCTGTGTAACAGGAATTAAAAGAACACTCCAAACCAAAGCACTTCTCATTGGGACATAACAAATTGTGGAAGCACTTATCATTACATTGTACAAAAACACATGACAAAATCAAAAACACATGACGGTGCAAAGTAGAAATACTTTTTATCATTGGCTTGTACTTAGACAAAAAGTATATATATAATGAGAGATATTTTCTAATGAATTTCTGCAACTAATCTTCGTTAAACTAAACCGCAAAAACCATTCACTCAAGTAACTTATTTAAAGCTTTCAAGTGTTCATAACTCAGATTTGACATTCAGTGGCACCCATCTTCTTAAGGTTAGAGAAGGGTTAAGATCAGAGTTGGATTATATAGCATGTTTTGTGTTAGAAGGATTAAAAGCTTGAGGGGATATATTGGTTATAAGAAGTGTTAAGAATTATTGTTTGTATTTGGTACATTGTTTTATTTTTTACAGTATTTAAATCTAGGATTGAGGTAAATGGCTTTGTTTAATGTTTTGGCTTTCAGTGCTTAAAAACTCTATGGTAATTGTTTGTTTAAGTTTTGGGAGGGGTTCAATTTAGGTTTAGAGAACATAGATTGTTTAGGGTACAGGCATATGGAGTTTGAAGGATTATTTGCAAATTACTCACCCTCCTATAATTGATAATATAGCATCGGGAGTTGTTATATAGTATGACTCACTCTGTTTTGTCCTATTATACACTAAAACCGCCTTCCTACTATTGGGTATGTCCCCCTCGTGCTGCCAAAACAGCTCTGAAGTATCAAGGCATGGACTCCACAAGACCTCTCTGAATGTGTCCTGTGGTTTAAGGCAAGAAGACAATAGCTGCAAATCCTTTAAGTCCTGCAAGTTGCGAGGTGGGGCCTCCATTGCTCGGATTTGTTGTTCCAGCACATCCCACAGATGCTCAATCAGATTCAGACCTGGGGAATTTAGAGGCCAAGGCAACACCTTGAACTCTTTGTCATGGGAACACCGTTATCGTGAAAGAGTGTATGTGGTATTCAAAAATCTCCAGGTAGGTGGTACTTGTCAAAGTAACATCCACATGACTGCCAGGACCCAAGGTTTCCCAGCAGACTCAAGATTCCCCACATAAATGACACATACACCACCGGCCATCCAACTAATCTAAAAGAAAACGTGGTTCACCAGACCAGGCAAACTTCTTCCTTTGCTCCATGGTCCAGTTCTGACACTCACGTCCACATTTAAGGTGCTTTTTCTTTTTCTGCATTTTGGAGATGAATCTCTGTTTAGATTTATATTTTTCAACTCTCTAGTTCAGGGATTCCCTACCTGTTGTATGCATACCCCCAGGCGAGCAATCCAGTGCCCTAGGGATTATGTGAACCCCTCCCCTCAAAAAAAAATGCTATTGGCAGCATTGCAGCTTCACTGCTCGGGCTGTGAACCACAGGCTGAGGGTCCATCGGATAGCCCATGCACTTAGGGCCACTCGATAGACATGTGACATTTATCGGCATGTGTGTATCAGTGTGTCTGTGCAACTGTATGTGTGTCAGTGTTTGGATCTGTGTAACTGTATGTGTGTCAGTGTTTGAATCTGTGTGTCTATGTATCTGTGTGTGTGTGTTAATGTGTTTATGTCTGTGTATCTGCATGTGTGTCAGTGTGTGTATCTGTATCTCTGTATCTGTGTGAGTGTGTCATTGTTTGGATCTGTGAGTCTGTGTATATCAGTGTGCCTGTACATCTGCATGTGTATTAATGCTTTTTTTGTGTCAGTGTTTGTATCTGTGTCTTTGTGCAATTTTGTGTGTTGGTATCTGTATTTATGTCAGTGTTTATATCTGTGTGTCTGTGCATCCGCATTTGTGTCAATGTCTGAAATCTGTGTCAGTTTTTGTATCAGTGTATCTGAATGTGTGTCAGTGTGTGTGTATCTGTTTGTTTGTATATCTGCATGGTTGTCAGTGTGTGCCTGTGTATCTGCATTTGTGTCAGTGTGCCTGGGGCAGAGGAGGTTCAGGGGAGCCTGGGTCAGAGGAGAAGCTGGGGGAGCATGGGGCAGAGGAGAAACAGAGAAAAGTGGAGATGAGGCAGAGAAAAGCGTACACAATTTATGGAAATTGGCTTTCAAGGGGTACTCATGCAAAAAAAGATTGGAAAGCACTGCTCTAGTTAATTCACCATAGTTTAATGTTTAGTAAACAAAGACCTTGGTTTGTCATGTGATTTAATGTCATGTCATGTGATGACTGGCTTCCCCAGTTGGACACATGCTCATGACTCACAACATCTGCTTCAGAGCCAGCAGAGCAATTCCATGCCTGCCAGTAATTTTCTGGAAATTATGGGGTTTCCCCAGAAGGGAGAGCACCAGCACATGAGCTAGGATTGTTTTGCAGCTGATATACTACAAGGAGACTGAGGCTGTCTGTTTCTGGAGCACACTGAGAAAACACACTCCTTTGCAGCTTATGTAGTGCAGTTATATTATAAGCAGTTTGAAAACATTATCAAAGACTGGTCCGTTTTGTCATACCCTGGTGTTTAAACATTTTAGAATATGTGTGTATCTAAGTATAAACAGGATATTTCAGTGTAAGATTAGAGGATGAGTCTCAATTATCATGCATTAAATGTGTTGTCAATTTGCTAATACAGCATCTGTTAATTTGTTAATAATCCTATTTCAAAAGTAGTAGGTGCTGTTAGTGTGTACAGGGAGTTACAGGTACTGTTTATTTGATAGACTTGGGCATTCATTTTCGGAAGAATTGCAATTCAAATGCAAATATGCTAATTTTTCCATTTGTTCGACGGGTTTCAAATTCTTGCATGCGCAAGTTGTTAATTATAAAATTGGTCAATCCCACATAAGGTAACCAAAATAGGGAGCTATCTACCAAATAGCTCCCTAATGTGACATTCTTAAATATTGGAATCCTATGTCACAGTACCAAATTACGGTGTTTTACGTCAATTTGATCTTTCAGCTGCTTAGTAGATAGCTCCGTAACTTGGTATTCTTTTGTGAGATTGTTGTATCTGCTAAACAGCTCTCTAATTTGGCACTCTTAAATATGGCAATCCCACATAAGGGTACCATTTTTAGTTGGGGAGTTATTTACTAAAGAGCTGAGTGATCAATATTCGGAAAAACCCTTTTCTTAAATTTGGTCTTTCTGCTGTCATGTAGATGGCTACCTAGTTTTGTACCTTTTAAATATGGCAATCCCACACAGGGTTACCAAATTAAGTAGCTATCTGCTAAACAGCTGAATGGTCGAAATCAGCTTTTGTTAATTTTAAACTTTCTGCAGCTTAGAAGATAGATTCCTAATTTGTTATCCTTATGTGGATTGCCATATTCAAAGATACAAAAATAGGATGCTATCTACCAAACACAACTTCCTCCCTAATTTGGTACACTTAGAGGAACACTATAGCATTAGGAACACAAATATGTAATTCTAACACTATAGTGCTGTAGTCATCATTTAAGTGACCGGTCCCCACTGACAGCCTACAGCTACGCTTAGGTAAAATGTAATTTAGAAAAAGAACAGTGTATCTTATTTACACAGACTGATTTCTAAACACATTTAAAAACAAATGTAAAACATTCAATCAATTCAATTTAAAAGCAAATTACTTTAAAGGACCACTATAGGCACCCAGACCACTTCAGCTTAATGAAGTGGTCTGGGTGCCAGGTCCATCTAGGATTAACCTTGCCTGCTGTAAACATAGCAGTTTCAGAGAAACTACTATGTTTATAATAGGGTTAATCCAGCCTCTAGTGGCTATCTCATTGACAGCCGCTAGAGGCGCTTCCGCGCTTGTCACTGTGCCGCGCATGCACATTCAGCCGAGGGGGAGGAGAAGAGTCCCCCGCTCGGCGCTGGAGAAAGAGGTAAGTTTAACCCCTTGCACCCCCTAGAGCCCTGAGGGTGGGGGCACCCTCAGGGCACTATAGTGCCAGGAAAACTAGTATATTTTCTTGGCACTATAGTGGTCCTTTAAGTATTATTGGTGTGGAGCTCTGTTATGCACTCAGACTCACTAACATTACGGACCTACTTGAAAGAAGGACATTAGGATAGAAAAGAGGGACAGTGGAATTCGGTTGTAAAATAGGGACTGTAGATCCTAAAAAGCGACAGTTGCAATGTATGCTTTAAATATGGCAATCACACATAAGGGAAGCAAATTAAAGGGATAGTCTACTGCCCAAATGGGAAAACCGTATAAATCACTGTTTCTTAGATATACCTCCAATTAATACATTCATGATTTTTTCATACATGTATTCATTGGGAGTAGATCTTGCAATAATGTTCTTATGACTGCAGCCTTTGCAACCCCTCCCTTTTTCCCCTGAAAGATACTTTCAGTCTTTTCATAGGGAATTAATCAGAGGCTGCTCACTGATATGAAGCCTGTATGGCATGAGGCTGGCGCTTAACTAGAGCATGTCTGCCACTTCTGTTAGTTTTACTGATGCTGCAGCAAATCTCTCTAGCTGTTTGATTGACAGTTTGGGGGTGTTCCATAATTTGGTTATAAATGTTTCAATTTTTCATAGAAATTGGCACTTTTATAAACTGGGGTTAAAATAGGATACAAAACACTAGAAAGAACAGGACGCCACAGTCACTAAATGAGTATATTAAAATAAGGGTTTGAAACGGAATATTGATGGTGAAGCAAAAACAGCAAAAGTTTATTAATGAAGAAATATATAAAAAGAATCACAGCACAACATATGTGCAATACATCAAGAATATAAAAGCCACAATAGGCAAGGAACCCTTATGTAGAGCAGTTTAACATAACATGATACTGAACTGGGCAGTAAAGTGCAAGTGCTAAAGTGCAAGATGCCTATAAGGAAATAGCACTTATACATGTATAGTACAATCAGCCCAAAGTAAATGCTGCATGAGCAGTATGTAAAATCAGCACACATGTAAAATAAAAACAGCTAATACCAAAGTGCAGGGTCCCAGGTCGTGCTCAACGCGTTTCGTCGTGTGACTTCCTCAGGAGCTTCTTCTCTCTTCTTGGTCCTCTCCCTTTTTAAATCTGCCGGTCCGTCCAACAGCTTCCGACCCGCGCATGCGCGACCACACTGGAACGCAGGATAACTTTATTGATCTTCTACACAGCCGCAATATGAACGCTCTACAAACCAGAGCGTTCGAGTCAATACGGACCGTGTGTACCAGCCTGCCTAGCCCCCAGCTGACCCCTAACATAAAAATGCTACTAGCTCAAACATAATATAAATAGGACTGGTGGGGGAAAAAAAGAAAGTAAAAAGTGAGGAAGATAAAAATGGAATAAAAATAGAGCAAATTATAAAAATTATAACAAGAGTGTAATTAAAAATGAATGATTAAAAATGAGTAGAAAAAAATTCAAAATGAGTAGAGAAAATGTTTTAATCAAATGCACATGGGTGCTATAAATATATGAACGTGTATAAATTAATAAATGTGTATATATAAAATGTGTTGGATGAGCATAAGTCCATTTAGATTTTTCTAATAGGCACCATAAATATAGATATAGTACATATGTTCATGGTCATTAATAGATAGTGGTAATCAAGCTATATGTCCATAGACCACTGATATATATATCCAGGGGCGTACCTAGAGCATTTGGCACCCGAGGCGGATCCTGTGCTTGGCACCTCTTGCCCCCCAAAAGCCCCGCCCTCAGCGCCAGTGTGGCTGTGGCTCCGCCTCCGATTTTGCTTAGCTCCGCCCCACTTTTCTTCCGTTCGGCCAGTTTATCAGCTGTTTGCTTGTATGAGCTGTACTGGCCGCACGGCACCCTAATAGCCAGGGCCGGTGCAAGGATTTTTGCCGCCCTAGGCAAAAGTAAAGTTTGCCGCCCCCCCCATGTGACATCACAATGCCCCACCCAGATGATATGCCATGTTATCTAACGCCAGTGCTGCAGTGCCGCAGTGTTTACATTAAAAGGCCTGCAGGGACAGGCTATAGACACCAGAACCACTACATTAAGCTGCAGTAGTTCTGGGGACTATAGTGTTTCTTTAATGTGAGGTAAATTAGAGATTAGTGCCACGAATAATATACTAGATTGCCTACTTACAACCAGATGAGGATGATGATGGGCTCTAGCTGCAGTCTGGTTCCACTGGTCTGGTGTAGAACAGGCTCTCTGGAGGCAGTTTGTAACTGTGGTCACAAAAATCTATGTTCTGGGAGAACGGGAAGCAGCTCCATTTTTTGGGTGCCCTTTACACAGCTCAAGGTCTGGGTCCCAGGGTCCACCTTCATGTTCCACCAATGAGTTTGTTCACAGGGGGTGGAGTGTGTAGGGGATGTCCTGATATGTGTGTAAGGAATGCATTGTGTGAAATTGTGTTTGTATGTGTAAGGGCTGCAAGGTGTGTTTCTGTGTATGTATGGGATGCATTGAATGTGTGTAAGGGGTGCATTGAGTGTGTGTAATGAATGCATTGTGTGTTTCTGTGTGTGTAAGGGATGCATTGTGTGTAACGGTTGCATTGCTTGTGTATGTGTGTCTGTGTGTGTAATGCAGTGTGTGTAATGCATTGTGTGTTTTTCTGTGTGCAAGGGGTGCAGTGTGTGTGATGAATGTCAATCTCTCCCCCCCTCCAATTTCCTTCTCCCTCCCTCCAATTTCCTTCTCTCCCCCCCTCCAATTTCCTTCTCCCCCCCCTCCTCCAATTTCCTTCTCCCCCTCCAATCCCCCTCCAATTTCTTCTATCCCCCTCTCCACCTCCTTCCCCCATATCTTCCTCCTATCACCCCCATCTCTTCTTATCACCCCCATCTCTCTTATCACCCCCATCTCTCCTTATCACCCCATCTCTCCTTATCACCCCCATCTCCCTCATCATCCCCCCCATCTCTCTCATCATCCCCCATCTCTCCTCATCCCCCTATCCTTATCACCCCATATCTCCTTATCATCCCCCAATCTCTCCTTATCACCCCCCAATCTCTCCTTATTCTCCCCCCCTCCCCCTACCATTGTTGTAGCGTGGCCGAGCCCTCTATTGGCCCGCGGGTACAGGGAGCATCTGTCTCCTTTACCCGGCCGGACTAACAGGAAGTGCACACGCCACGCCACAGGGAGGGGCGCTCCCTCCTGTCAGCCCCTCTCCTCAGGCTGCGCCCGGGCGGGCAAAGCTGCAGCCGCCTGAGGTTCTCTGCAGAGCGCTCGGGCGGCTGCAGCATGAGGGGGGCCGGCGCTCCTAGCAGCGTCCCCTCCCAAGGCACCCCCCACCCTGCTGGCACCCGGGGCGGACCACCCCCTCCGCCCCCCCTTAGTACGCCACTGTATACGCCACTGTATATATCGACAGTGGAAGCATGCATATCATAACCATAAATATCGACAATAAAGGCATACATATCACAAAGAACAGATATTGTACATATATATGGTAACAACAAAAACAAGTATATAAGTGTCAGGAACCATAATATAGTCTTTATACATAAAAATTGAGGGCATGTAAACAAGGTGTATATAAAAAAATATATATTAACACCATGCATAAAAAACTTCTATTAAAACATACATTGACATATATATGTATATACAATAAGAAGGAGGAAAAAAACTGTCAAAATGATGAAAAGCAATCAAAAATATATATATAAAAACAGTAAAAAACTAACAAATAATCATAAAACTTAAGTAAAAAATAAAAAATAATAATAAATACTTTAAAAAAAAGGAACAAGTACAAGAGAGAAAAGGGTTAGTACAGAATGTACAATAATGTAATCAATCCATAAAAGCCAATATATCTAAATCTGTGTTAAGTCCTGAGGGGACAGAGGATTTCATTCTATATATCCACTCTGTCTCCCTCATGGCTCATATTTTTTCGGTGTCTCTGCCCCTCCGATGTGTTAAAATCATATCAATCCCATTGCAAATAAAATCTTTGAAATCGAATTCTTTACAGGTATTGCAATGTTTAGGTACACTGTGTTTCCCATTTTTATTCTTAATTCCATTAAAATGTTCTAATAATCTTATGTGTAGTTTCCTATATATTGGACACCACACTTACACTGTAACATGTATACCACAAATTTCCTTTGGCAATTAATAAAGTGCTTTATCTTAAAGGTTTCTTTGGTCACAGTACTAGAAAATTCCGTAATCTTTTTTTTCTGGAATTTACATGTACTTTATTAATTGCCAAAGCAAGTTTGTGGTATACATGTTACAGTGTAAGTGTGGTGTCCAATATATAGGATGCACCATTAGGAAACTACACATAAGATTATTAGAACATTTTCACCATCAATATTCCTTTCAAACCCTTATTTTAATATACTCATATAGTGACTGTGGCGCCCTGTTCTTTCTAGTGTTTTGTTTTTGGCAATTGGAGTTGGAGTGTCCTTTATCCAGAGGCTTGCCTGCACTTGGTTTTTATTACTGTCCACCCACCCACCTTTCCATTTCTTTGTTTAAAATAGGATACTCCTCAACCATAAAGCACTTCAACAATTTATTTATTTATTTAAAACACAAAAAGATGCACAGGTGATCTAGGCATTACCTTTGTCTACATGGAAATCACAAACAGAAATTATTGAACAAACTCATACTAAATACATTTTGATGAAATTTTATTTATTTTTGTAACCAAAAAGTCTGTTATTTACTTTAATAGAACCAATTATTTGGGGAACATCTACATAACAGATTTTAAACCCTTACATTAATGTCATGCAGTCCTTCACTTATTACCAATGCAAAGTTGTGTCCCAAGAGTTATTTTATATATCAATGTTCCTGACTGCAGCTTTATAACAAGAGTAACTTTCTACACCCATATCAGAGCTGACAGTGGCACAGATCTGCTCAGGCAGAGCTGTTTTAGTAAACATGAAGAGGCAGCTATGGTATAGTGCACTTAAACAAGTCTTTTGCAAAAAAAATTCCCCAAAGGACTTTAAATGAGCATTCATCGTGCTAGAGCAAAGAAAGTCATTAGCGACTTGTAATTCAGTTTATAAACTAATTAGAGATACTGGGGCTTTCCACTAATGTTTGAAATAATGAGTCACATGTAGTCCTGTGATTTAGTAATTTCCTTCTATATGCTCGCAAAACAATGTACACACAAGGAGCAGATTTCCCTTTTGGCACAGTAGGCACCTGGCTACAGCCATCTGTCCTGTGGGGGTTTCTTATTTTTTAACAGAGTTATTCACTAAAGTTAAAATTCAAAGCAAATTTCACATTTAAGTTCAAAATGGCTAAACTGGAAATTATCAACTGTGCTTTCAGCTTGGTTAATCTGGTCTTAAAATGAAATTCACTTTGATTTCACTGTTGTACATGGTTTTTGCCTAAAGTGAGAATTCAAAATCAATTTTGAACTCAAGGCCAGACTAGCCAAACAAAGCATAGCTTCTCTCCATGCTCCCAGTGATCATGGCAGATGTTCAGGCGGCGGCTCCAGCTGACACCGACGGCAAACTGAGCAAAAATGAGCTCAAAAGGCGATTGAAAGCGGAGGTGAAAGCAGTTGAAAAGGAAGCGAAGCAAAAAGAACAAAATGAGAAATTGCCCAGTGCAGATACAGAAATTATTAATTAAGAAACACTTGATCTCAATCAATATTTTACACTTCGCTCCCAAACCATTCAGCAGCTGAAGGGAACAAAGAATGACCTGTATCTACAGAAGTACCAAGTTGATCTGTATCTCACAGATTTTACAAAATACTACAGTTTGGAGATTGAGGACCATTTAACGCAGGTCATCAGTGTGGCAGGAAAAAGCCACGCCAAACGTATTTCTGTAGCCAAGTTGATCTTCTACAATCTGCGTGGAGAAGACACAATGTTGCAAGTTATGGCTAACTCTAAATTTTACAAATCAGATGATGTCTGCGTTGCGGTGATATTATTGGAGTGAAAGGAAATCCAAGAAAAAACAAAAAGGGTGAACTAAGTATTATACCCACTGAAATAACCCTGCTGTCTACCTGTATGTATATGTTGCCTCATCTCCACTTTGGATTGAAAGACAAGGAAACGAGATTCTCCCAGCGTTACCTCGATCTCATCTTAAATGACTACATAAGGCAGAAGTTTATTACAAAAACTTATCACATACTTAAATCAGAGCAAGTAGGGGTAACCCATTAATGTACATCTTGTAAATACAGACTGGTTGCAAAGGGTATAATAACCACCCCTTAAGTGGCTTATAAAGAAATCATAAATCAAAAAATACCCGCACTCCAATGCAAATCAGATTTTATTAATTAATCAAAATTAAAATATGTTCATAGTTAATCCATAGGTAATCCATAACGCTTGATAAAGGCCATCAATGCCAAAATGTTGGGTGATTTTTCTGCCCTCTTTTGACTGATAAGGTAAATATATTGTACAGCAGATGATGTGTTTATCTCTTATGATTTGAACTTTTGTTACAGTGGTTGAATGGATTTTCTATATCTTTTGTTGGTTTATATATATATGAGGATTGATGCATATAATATTAACTTGTATATTAACTATTAACTATGTCATATTTGTTCCTGAATTGGTGTACATGGATTAACTATGAACATATTTTAATTTTGATTATTTCATAAAATCTGATTTGCATTATATATGGGTTGGGTATTTTTTTTTAATTTAAAACATATCACATACCTCAGATGTCTCAAATGTCTGGATAATTTAGGCCTTCTTGAGATTGAAACTCCAATGATGAACATTCAAGCCATTCATCACCCATCATAACGAGTTAGACATGGATCTGTACATAAGGATAGAACCAGAGCTGTATCACAAGATGCTGGTAGTCGGTGGCATTGATAGAGTATATGAGGTGGGCAGGCAGTTCCAGAATGAAGGGATAGATCTCACTCACAATCCAGAGTTTACAACCTGTAAATTTTACATGGTGTACACGGATGTCCACGACCTCATGGAAATAACAGAAAAGCTGCTATCTGGAATGGTTAAATACATCACTGACAGCTACAAAGTTGCTTACCATCCAGAAGGTCCCAAAGATCCTGTGTTTGAAATAGACTTTACTCCACCCTTCAGAAACATTTGCATGGTGCATGAAGTGGAAAAAGTCCTGGGGAGAAAACTGCCTAATAACGACCAGTTTCACACTGAAGAAACTTGCAAATGCCTCAATGATGTCACGATTCGGGGAACCTAACACGCTGACACACACAGAAAAGGTGCCGTACCGGACCTTAGAGTGGCCGGGCTAAGCACACTAAGAATAGTCAGGAGACAAGCCAGGTAAAGGGAGCCAGAAAACAGGAGAACGAGAAACAAGCCGAGGTCAAAGGAGTGGAGAAGACAGGATAATCGGAATAACGAGCCAAGTAATTGGTAACCAGAGAGCAAGACGAGAACACTACGCTACAGGTATCACAAGACCACAACAGGGCACTGAGGGACAGGAAAGGTAAGTATAAATAGGCTTGGTTTAATTCTGATTGGATAACTTCCAATCAGAATTAACAATCACACGTGTGGGATATCTATACCCCCCACTGTGATTGTGGTACTGTTTCTTTAACGCCGGGTCACTCACGTGACCGCGGCGTTTACATAAGTCATTGACCTCCCAGCGTGCAGCGTTATACATGCTGCCGCTGGGGGGCGTGGAGGACGCGGGCGGCGAGTGGCAGAGAGGAGACGCCGCTCGCCGAGAGGTAAGTAGAGGGGAGACCGCGGGCGCGGCCGCGGATCCCTGACAAATGACAATTGTATGGAGAAAGGCATAGAGTGTCTGCCCCCGAGAACCACTGCAAGACTACTAGACAAGCTGGAGGGCGATTTTCTTGAGGTAATCTGCATTAATCCAACCTTTATCTGTATACAGTCAGGTCCATAAATATTGGGACATCAACACAATTCTAATACTTTTTGGCTCTATAGACCAACACAATGGGTTTGAAATGAAACAAACAAGATGTGCTTTAACTGCAGACTTTCAGCTTTAATTTGATGGTATTTACATCCAAATCAGGTGAACAGTGTAGGAATTACAACAGTTTGTATATGTGCCTCCCACTTTTTAAGGGACCAAAAGACCATCCCACCATCATCATTGAGTAAACTTTGACCCTGTACCTCACAGTCAGCAGACACATTCCAGCCAATCAGCAGCAGACCCTCCCTCCCAGACCCTCCCACCTCCTGGACAGCTCACTAAGAATGCAGCTTCAAAATGGATGCTGTCCAGGAGGTGGGAAGGTCTGGGAGGGAGGGTCTGCTGCTGATTGGCTGGAATGTGTCTGCTGACTGTGAGGTACAGGGTCAAAGTTTACTCAATGATGAGTCCGCAGCAAACCATTCGCGAACCGTTCGGGACATCACTACTAGTAATGTATAATAAATAAATGTAAGACGGTTTGCAAACTCTTTTATATATTTTTTCTTATTAGTACCTCTTTGGGTAATATTCATGTTAGATTTGTCTAAAATCTGTTGTGTTATTTTTTTTTAACCTGTTGGATTACAAAACAATAAAAATCCCTAATGCCAGTGTTTTAGTAAAGAATACACAAAACATATTTTTTGCTAAAAACATATATGTAGCTAATTTCTGAATAAATCTATATGCAAAATTAGAGTTTGTACTAATTTTGTAGCATGATAACCGTGCTTCCCATGTTTTAAATACTACTATTTATATCTATTTTTTTATTTTTTTTATTTTAATATAATTGGGTAGTAAAGGGGTTAAGACTGACCTTTAAAATATGAAGAATATTTTTTTATGATGTATTAGGCCAGAAGATAGCATAATGTGTTTAGAAAAATGAAAAAGTACCACATTTTTTTTTTATAGTGAATCAGACATATACTTTAAATTAAGTGGTTCTGACAACCAAACATTGCGTAAGTAATCACTATTTTTCTTTGATTTGAAGACTAGGCTATTTTATTTATTTTTTCAATTTGAGAACACTGCCAAAAAATAAATGCGTTTTATGTAATCTTGTTATTGTTAAGCAGACTGTATGCCAAACTGTGAATAGATAAAAGTATTTTATAAATTGTATTATTGAGAATACTGTTATGGTCAACTTTTGGGAAGTTACAAAAAAGTAGTTTTCAACATTTATTTGGTCTTCTAGCGCAACCAGTACAACTGCAGAGATTTGTCATAATGCATCCTTCGATATACCATTCTAAATGTTATTTGATGAAGGCTTTTCGTCATGTTAGGTTGTCGGGGAATTTTAGCCATTAGCCCCCATTTATGCCAATGTTAATCAAAGAAAATATTTGCTTACACAAAAAGTTAACTACCGGTAGTTTCACTTTAACTAAGAGCAAATGTCTATACAATTTTTATTTAAAAAGCCATGTACTTGACATTTTTACAGTAGCATATGCTATAATACAACAATGTATCTTATTACATTAAACCACTGGACTTCCATTGAAAGAAACACTCCAAACACCTAAAACACTTCAGTTTCCTGAAGTGCTTTACATGTAAAGCATGTTTCTTCTACTTCTGTTACACCACATTGGTTACTGACTGGCTGTTTAGATCAGTGGAGCTAAACTAAAGAGGCGGCCAATTGCTCAGAGCACCTGCCTTGCAAAGACTTGTCATTGAGCTGCATTGGGAAGTCTGTAATTGGACAGACACAGACAGTCTGGGTTGATTCAAAAGGAGAGGGCTTGCAAAGACAGCAGACAAGAGATTTACACGTTTTGCAAATGTTTTTTTAGATATATCCCTAATGCATAATTAAATACAGGTATGCTTTTATGGGTGTATATCTACTGAGTGTTTATTTATAACCATGGAGTGTACCTTTAACAAATGGCACACATAGTATAGTCTAATATGTTTTATAAATTTCAGAGAAACAAACCTCTTTAGTTGACTTCACATATTGCAATCTAGTTGAACAGTTTAACATAATGTAAGTTTAAAAAAAAAAAAATATTAGCCTTTACACTTTGAAGAAATACAAAGATTCATATTAAAATCATCTCTCTGTCTTTTTATTTTTCAGGAATAAGCAAAATGAAATGATCCAACCAAGAAATTTCCTGAGCGCTCAGTGCCCCCCACTTTCATGAAATTAACATTCTTTTCCAGAGTGGGAAAACCTGCAGAAAAAAAATCTGTATCTTATTCTAAATAAACCTGAAGCAAATTGTAATAGTATTGGGGTGTGTGTGTGTGTGTGTGTGTTTGTGTGTATGTATATATATATATATATATATTAAACAATACACAAGATGGGGTACATTGACGTTGTGGCAGGCTTATGCAATGTATGATCATATAATGTAACTAAATCCCCATTATTTTTTGCCTAGATTAGGTGTTTTTAGAAAAAACTTTTAAAATCTGTCAACATTGAAGTTGCTGTTTAGTAGATAGGAGAGTGCGCTGGATCTTGTGTATTGTTTATTGTATAATATGGCCCCCAGCAGCACCCCATTTAAGCATGTTAAGGTGAGTGCAACCCCCCCCCCATGTTTCATATATATATATATATATGTATATATATATATATTATTATTTTTTATTATTATTATTTTTAGGGAATACATAAATAAAGCTATTCTTTTTTAAAAATTTATTTTTATTTGCCAATTTTTATTTTTCACAATAGGAAAAAACAGATTAAAAGGGAACGGGGAGGTTTCAGCAGATACATAGTCAATATGCAATTTTCCAGCAAGTGTACACAGAAAAAAAATACCGCTAACATTCTGAAATTTGCTAAGACCAGTCATGTTACTCATAAAAGTTCCCAGGGTGGGTATGGTGCTACAGCCCATGGGATGAGGACTTCACTTCGCTCAATTTGACACAATCTACATTTGTGTAGGAGGAGGTACAATAGGGTCACCCGGAGTCCCAAGCTGCTCATGTCGCTAGGGCTGTCCTAGACAGCCCCCATAATTTGCGGAAGCAACGTTCGTACTTGCGTTGTTTATCAATGTCCGTTATTAAAGTGGACATAGAGGGGCACTGTGAAGACTTCCATGCTCTGGCTATCGACCTTTGGGCTGATAATAAGACATGAAAAAAAAGGAAAAGGTGCGCTGTACCTTTAAAATTTAAAGTGCAAACAAGTGTAAATCAAGTGTCAAAAGTGCAAAGAAGTGCATATAAAATATGTAAACAACTTCAGCATATACAATATGTGCAAAAAAATGCAAGTGGATATTGTGAAAACTAGTATAAAAATGACTCACAGAGGATAATATCCTTGGTGCTCCATATGAAATTAGGACACATGGTACATATAAGAGAAACACAAAGGGAGAGACATAGTATAATATTGTTTAAAAAATGATAAAATCAAAACCAAAGATAGGAATGTAACTCACAAAAGAAGAGCAGTGAAAGCTTGCTCTAACTTATCCAGCCTGAAGTCCACAACCCAGGACTCAATGATGATGGAAACTGCAGGACACCAGCTGAATGAAAAGATGAATAAGCTTTATTTCTTACAGTTAAAACAATGGTCTCCGTTCCCACATAGAAGTCCAATGATCCTATTCAGGGTTCTTTAAGAAGTGTCTGTCAGCAAACTCAGTCACTTTCGGCACTGTAGGATGTACTTCCTGGTATTCAGAGTTTCGTTAAGTCTGAGGGACTCATATAGGGAGTGTGCGAAAGATATTGTAGTTTGGGTAAGATAGACATCTTGAGTGCCACTATCCTTCCCATCCATGTCATGTACAATGGTCTCCAACACTGGAGAATTTGTTTGCATTCATTCCTACTCTTATGTAGTTCCCTGTATACAATTCCACTGCGTTTTTGGTGAACAATAACCCTAAGTATTTAATATTGTCTTTCCTCCATTTAAAGGGTGATCCCGAAAGGGCATCTGTTTCAGTTAATGGTAACCCTATGGTCTTGGAAGTATTAAGTGAGTAAATAAATGTAGTCCATATTTTTTAATGAAGTTCATGAGTGGGGGGTAAAGAGGTTTTGGGTTGGGAAACGTAAAGAAGAATATAGTCTGCGAATGCGCTAATCTTGACTTCTTGTCCGCAGACCTCTATCCCATGAATGTAAGGGTGGTCCCTTTTAGTGTTTAGAAGGGGCTCCAGTGCCAGTACATACAATTGCGGGGAGAATGGGCACCTAGCCCCGTTGGTGATCGTAAAAGGGTTGGATGGAAAGCCCGCTTGCATAACCTGGGCCGTCGGAGCTGAGTATAGAGCAAATATTTGTCTTATGACCTGTGGGGGAAATCCATATTTACTTAATGCATGCCTCAGGAAGGACCAGCCGAGGCTGTCAAATGCTTTCTCAGTATCCAGAGCTAAGAGCAGTCCACCCCGCTGGTCCTTTGGAGCCGCTCAAATACTAGGGATAGCTTGCGTGTATTATCTAATCCCTGTCTCCCCTGGACAAACCCTGTTTGGTTGTCAGATATCAAGGCTGGTAAAATGGGGCTCAATCTGTTGGCCAGTATTTAAGCATATATTTTCGCGTCTGTGTTTAGGAGAGAGATAGGGAGTAAGTTTTTGCACACATCAGTAGGTTTATCCGGCTTGGGGATAGTAATGATTGTAGCTAACAACATCTTTGGTGGGAGTAAACCGGAGTCAGTAGCCTCGAGGTAGACCTTGAGGAGATGAGGTGCTAGAACCTCTGCGTAAATCTTAAAGTAAGTGTTTGTGAATCTGTCCGCTCCTGGGGATTTGCCCGAGAGTAGACCCTTAATGGCAGACAAGACCTCGGTAAGGGTTATAGGCTGTAGGAGCTCCTCAGTTTGAGTTTGTGAGATCTGGGGGATGTAGATTGGACAGGTATCGGGAGATACCTTCGTCGTCAGAACTATATACTGTGTCACTTAGGTGCAGATTATAGAGTTTCGACTAAAATTTGGCAAACTCATGGCTAATGTCCTCAGGGTTAATCTTCTTTCTTACCCTCGTCATCGACAATATGGGCTATTTTGGTTGCTGAGTATTTACTGCGGAGCCCAGAGGCCAGGTATTTGGTCGCCTTACCGCTATTGTGATACGTGGTAGCTCACACTTTATGGAGAAGGTATTTAGTCTTCTCTGTGTTAAGCTCCGCTAGCCGGTCGTATAGTTTGATCAGCTTAGTTGCCAATTCCCTCGTGGGTTGCATCTTATTTAAAGAGGCTGTAAGGGCAATTTGCCTATGGCAGTCTAACAATCAGTTTTTTAGGCGTTTTTTGAGGAAGGAAGATCGACGTATAAGCAGGCCTCTAATGACGGCCTTATGCACAGACCATACTGCTAGGTCCGACACATCCTTATCAGTATTGGTTTTGAAGTATTCCTGTATCTCCCTGAGAATAGTGGAAGTGAAATCGGGTTCTGAAAGTAAGGCGTCGTTGAGACGCCATGTCCCTTTACCTTTAAACTGGAACTTATCAAATAGTTCTAAGGTGACAGGGCCATGATCCGACCATGTAATCTCTCCTATGTCACATCTAGAGAGTTGGGCTAACAATGCTCTGTCTATGAGGAATGTGTCAATCCGGGTATAGGTATTATGTACCCGGGAATAGAATGTGTAATCTCGCTCTACAGGATGGAGAGTCCTCCAGACATCGTATAGATCATGTAGGGAAATAAGTTTGGTAAGAGACTTATTCACCCTCTCTCTAGCTCTATGGCTGCGACCAGTAGGGGGGCTATTGTGTCCAAGGGAGTCTGGATGAAGTTAAAATCTCCATAAAGGAGTAGACTGCCCTGTTTCAACTTGTCAATTTTGCTAAGTAACGAGTGGAGGTAGTTCCTAGGATTGTCGTTAGGAAATTAGTTATACTTAACCCCTTAAGAATGGAGGCAATTGTCCAACTTCTGAATAAAGACAATACCTAGGATTCGTGCTGTGCATTTATCCCACTGTAATTTAACAGGACACTGTAGGCACCCAGACCACTTCAGCTCATTGCATGATGACCTCCAGCATCAAATCTTTCCCCATACAAAAAGCATTGAATAATGCTTTGCTATGGGAAACTCCAAGTGCGAGCATGGCCATTGCTGATGTCGGCGGGAAGGAGAATGGGCTGGGGGCATGGGCGTCCGCAGGAATTTTTCCAGGGGGGGGGCATAATTGTAATGACATCCATGCTTGGTACCTTTTTGACAGTGTCATGAAAGGGAAGGGGCATAGCCATTATCACATAAAGCCAGGGTGAATAGCATTTTCACAACTATGGTGTCAGGAATATATTTTTGTATTCCTGACACTATAGTGTTCCTTTAAGCAAATTAAAGGACCATTCTGGTCACCATAACAACATCACCTAAATGAAAATGCTATGATGCCAGGAAGCCCCTGGGTGCTCGCTTTCCTTTAAGGGGTTAAATCACTCTCAAATGGTTTAACCCCAAAGGCTTCCTCCAGCTCCAGGTCGCTCAGTGGTATTTGGCTTCTGAAACAGAGTGTCAGGAAGTGCAGATTGACGTCAGGCATGGGTGCCGCTGATTGGCTAGAGTGGTCAGTTGATGCTCTAAGCCAATCGCTAGTTCCCGGTTCATAAAATATTTTTACTTTTTTTATGAATGAGGAGCTACTGATTGGCTTAGAGTGCCAGCTGACCGCTCTAGCCAATCAGCAACACCCCTACCCAATGGCACTCTGTGCTTCCTGACACTCAGTAAATAAAAGTGAACACATTAATACTGATATTTTTTTACCTTTGGAGATGAGAAGGTCCAGCGTTTCCCTGCCTGGCCCAGGTACCAAAGCCTTATGATGTGGTGTCCAGAATAAAGTGGAGGGTTCACTTCATTTGTCCTTCCTGCTCCAATCTCCTTTTTCCTTTCCTTTATTTGACAGTCTTTTTTTTTTCTTCTGACACTGTTTTCTATCCTTGGCCCCTTCTGCTCTTTTACCTTTCTGCTACTTTCTGCTTATTTTGCGCCCTTCTGCTCCTTTCTCATTCTGATCCCTTTCTGCTCCTTGGAGACCCTTTCTGCTCCTTTTTCTACTTTACCTTTGTGCTCCTTGCTGTCCCTTTCTGCTCCTTCTCCTACTTTACCTTTGTGCTCCTTCTGATTCTTTCTGCTCCTTTACCTTTGTGCTCCTTCCTGCTCCTTGCAGGCCCTTCCTGCTCCTTCTCCTATTTTACCTTTGTGCTCCTTCTGCCCCTTCCAGCTCATTTCTGACCCTTTCTGCTCCTTCTACTTTACCCTTGTGTTGCTTTACCTTCCAGCTCCTTGCTGACCCTTCCTGTTCATTTCTGTTCCTTTGTGCTCCTTCTCCTCCTTTACCTTTTGTGTTCCTTGCTGTCCCTTCCAGTTCCTTGCTGCCCCTTTCTGCTCCTTGATGTCCCTTCCTGCTCATTTCTATTCCTTCTCCTTTTCTTACTTTACCTTCCTGCTCTTTGCTGACTCTTCATGTAGGCTGTCTCCCCCATCCCTCACTTCCATAGGCGTGCGCACGAGGTGTGTCGGGTATGCATGGGCACACCCTAATCCCCGCGGCACGCCAATGGATTGAGACCGGCAGGGGAGGTCTCTGCATCTCCCCGGTCGGCTCATGCAGAGCCGAGGCTATCTGAGAGGCGGCTCTGGTCAAAGTTCTATCTCACCGGTCCACAGCAGCATGGAGGGAGGAAGCAGAGAACCCGGGCTAGAGTTCACTCTCCACTGAACCACCAGGGAAGGCAACAGGACTGGGATATTAACTAATCTGCCCCCACCTCCACCCAAACATACAGCACACACACACACACAGCACCTACACACAGCACACACAGCCCACAAACAGCACCCACACACATACATCACCCTCGCACACACAGCACCCATACACACCCAGCACACTAACAGCATCCTCACAAACACAGAAAACCCACACACAACACCCGCACAGCACCCACACACAAACAGCACACTCACACACAAACAGCACCCTGACAAACACACAACACACACACACAGCACACACACACAGCACACTAACAGGACCCGAACAAACACGCACACACAAACACCCTCTCACACACACACACACACAACACACTACCAGTTCCCTCACACACAGCACACAAACAGCACCCTCACACACAGCACACTAACAGCACTCTCACACACACAAAAACACCCTCACCCACATAGCACACTACCAGCACCCTCACACAGCAGTGTATATATATATATATATATATATATATATACACACATACATATACACATGGCATGTGTTTGTGCTTTAGGGTGCACACCTTATTGCAATAGGCTGCGCACGCCTATGCTCACTTCCCTACCCATGGGCTGCTGCCCCCTCACTCCCCTACCCATAGGCTGCTGCCCCACCCCCACCCATAGGCTGCTGCCCCCAAATCTATAGGCTATCTCAAACCTCCCATCCTCACTCCCCAAATCTATAGACTGCTGTCACCCCCAAATCTATAGGCTGCTGCCCCAAATTCCAGTAGGCTGCTACCCCCAATATATAAAGCCTGCTGCCCCACCTAAATCTATAGGCTGCTACCCCTCTACCTAGGCTGCTGCCCCCCTAAATCTATAGGCTGCCCCCAAATCTATATAGGCTGCTGCCCCCAAATCTGCTATGTGGCTGCTGCCCCCCCCAAATCTATAGGCTATCTCAAACCCTCCCCCCATCCCTCACTTACCTGGTCTGTAGGCTGTCTCTGCCTGCATGTGTTGTTCCCCTGCGGTTTCAATCAGCAGAGAGAAGCAGGGATAAGATGCAGCTTCCTATCCCTGTCTCTCTCCATACACCTACTGGCCGGCGCCAGTATTGCAGTTCATTTTAAATCTCACACGAAAAATAGCAGAACAAGCTGATGCACATGTCGAGGCAGGATCCTCAACCCACATAGTATCATTAGCACCACTGCACTGTTTTCTGCACTAGGTGTCCCATTGTCCCCTGACAAAACAATAGGCCCCACAACACAGCTGGTATTCCTGGGTATCTCACTCGACTCAGTGTCCATGCAGGCACGCCTCCCCGATGTGAAATTGGTATGCATTAGACTAGAATTGGACCAGTTCCTCCAGAAAGGTACTGGTTCTCGGAGGGATCTCCAGTCTCTACTGGGATACCTCAATTTTGCAATGCGTATAATTCCACAATGGAGATCCTTCATCTCCAGGCTACTCTGCCTCCTACCCGGCGTGCCTGATGATGGTACCATAGTCCTCAACCCACCAGCTGTAGCCAATTTAATTATGTGGAAGCACTTTCTAGCAGAGTGGAACAGCATCTCCATGTTCATTCCCCCACTGACCGAGCACTCTCCTGCTATTTGGACTGATGCAGCAGCCCACTCGGGGTTCACTGAAATTTTTGGTAACCACTGGTTCAGGGACGTGTGGCCACAAGAGGCACTTGCCTTACCAGCCTTCAGGGAAACCTCAGCCCTTTTGAGGTCTATCCCATTGTAGCAGCAGCACATACTTGGGGTCATCTGTGGGCCGGTAAGGCAGTCATGTGTTTCTCAGACAATTTGGTGGCTTGCGATATCATAAATAACCATTATGTGGTTAATACAGATATTGACATGGCTGACCGCCAAACTACAATTCTTTCTAGTTTGTGAACACATCCCAGGCATCCAGAATACGGCAGCTGATGCGTTGTCCAGATCAAACTTTCAGGCTTTCTACAAGGTGCACCCTTATATACAAAATAATTTTTATCTTTTTTACTTTTTAGCAGATAATATACCATTGTTTTATTCAGAGAGCACTATTGGTTGTCTCGTTTTACCCTTCTTTTTGTGAGGAACTGACTCTGCTGGGTTTCGAACCCTGGTTTACATGGTGCTAAACCTCTTCCTTACCAGTACACCAGCCTGCCTTTTGCAAATTTACCTGAGATCTGATACCATTGCTTGTAGAGTCAAGGTTATCAGTGACAACTCTCTTCAGCTGTGTCTGGTCAGGTGTCTGGTTCTTGGCCTATAAAAGCAACTTCCTGTCTCTGTACCTTTGCCAGATTATTGTGGTTCCTGTACTCTAATCAAGCGTGTTCCTGTTTCTACTTCCTGTTGCTGAATTTGGACTGTTTTGACTTTGCTGCTTCTCCTTCCCACTGACCTCGGCTTGCCTCACTATGATTATCATCTTTCTGTTCCAGTCTCCCATCTCTGCTTAAGACCAGAAGGCCACTCAAAGCTCAGGGGCTCAACCACCTGGGTAACGAGTGGCTACCTCTGGCAGAAAACATTGCTGATCTGGCTACTGGACTCCAAAACTTTGTAACATCAATATCATTACAGAATAATCTGGCCCATTCATGGAGACCGTCGGATCAGATTCTGCATTGGCCCAACAGGTTGCTTTTAATGCAAGAACTATGCAGACCCAGGCACAGACCATTCAAGTGCTGCAGGATCAGGTAGCTGAACTGCAAAATGAAGTTCGATCAATGCATAGTGAGCTTACCAGCTACAGGGCATATGATGTTGCGGCTGCTGCTACTACTACTGTTACACCTGCACAAGATGCCCGCTTGCCTCTACCAGAAAAATTTGGAGGAGACCGCAAAAAATTCAGGGGTTTCCTAAATCAATGCCGCTTGCATTTCATGATGTTACCTAACCGTTTTCCATCTGAAAGAGAGAAGGTGGGATTTATTTTTTCCCTCTTCAAAGATGAAGCCCTGGCCTGGGGCTCCTCTTTTCTGGAACAGGACAGTCCAATCTTGGGAAATTTAAAAGACTTTCTTGAGGCCATGTGCCTAGTTTTTGATGATCCCAATCGCTGTGCTACAGCAGAAGCCACTCTCCTTCATTTACATCAAGGGAGGCGATCTGTGGCTGAATATGCTGCTGAATTCAGACAGTGGGTTACTGATACTACTTGGAACCAATCAGCCCAGAGGTTCCACTTCAGAAGGGGTCTCTCAGAAGCTATAAAAGATGAGCTAGCTCGTGTTGATCTTCCTGTTGAGTTTGATGCATTTGTGCGGTTGGCTATCCGTATTGATCGGAGACTTTTAGAAAGAAGATTGGAAAGACAGGGCTCTTTTAAACCAAGTGCTACTCCTACTTTCTATTCAAGAATTTCTACTCCGACCCCACAAACACCTACAGACGCTGAACCTGAGGCTATGCAGGTAGATCTAATAAGAGGGCCATTATCCAATGAAGAAAAACAGTGGCGACGCACTCACCACTTATGCCTGTATTGTGGTAGTGCAGGGCAGTATGCCATCAATTGCCCTAACAAGTCTAAAAGAACAATAGCTATGACTGCTGAGGGTGCACAGATTCAACACCAATCCCAGATTTCAGACCAACTGGATTCTGTCACACAACCCTTGTTTTCTCTGGCTCAGGGTGAAGAAGGTATGATGACTCAACATCCTCATTTGGTGGTGCCTATCACTTTGCAATATGGTGATAATAAAATTTCAACTACAGCTATGATAGATTCCGGAGCAGGCGGAAACTTTATGGACATTACATTTGCAGCAGGAAATAAAATTCAGTCTATCCCTAAATCTTCACCTGTGTTAATGGAAACAGTAGACGGTTCTCCACTTACGTCAGGCCCGGTTACACATGAGACTGTGCCCTTAAAATTGATTCTGAAAGTGAATCACCATGAGTCTATATCTTTCCACCTAATTTCCTCAACACAGTTTCCAGTGATTTTGGGTATACCCTGGCTTGCTCTGCATAACCCACAGATTGATTGGAAGACTAGAACTTTGTCCCTTCCTTCAGAACACTGCTTAATGAATTGTCAACCCTCTAAGGCGACACCTGTTACCACAACAATTAATGAAATGGTTGCTACAAACTTAACTAAGCTTCCGCTACAATATCGGGATTTTGCAGATGTCTGTGATAAGAAGAATGCTGATCAGCTTCCACCCCACAGGCCTTATGATTGCCCCATAGAGCTGCTACCTGGAGCTGCTATCCCATTTGGCCGTATATACTCCCTTTCTGAGCCTGAATTGAAAGCACTTCGTGAATACATACAAGAAAATCTTGCCAAAGGCTTTATTCAACCATCTACTTCTCCAGCAGGAGCTCCTATATTCTTTGTAGAAAAGAAAGATGGCAGTCTACGGCCATGTGTCGATTACAGGGACATTAATAAAATCACTGTTAAAAACCGTTATCCCTTGCCTCTCATTTCTGAACTTCTGGAGAGACTTCGTTCAGCTAAAATATTTACGAAGCTTGATCTACGGGGGGCATATAATCTGGTTCGCATAAGACCAAATGATGAATGGAAAACAGCTTTCAGAACCAGGTACGGACATTACGAATATCTAGTAGTGCCATTTGGGCTTTGTAATGCCCCTGCAACTTTTCAGCATCTAATCAATGATGTACTACGGGATCTCCTGGATCAGTTTGTTGTGGCATATTTGGATGATATCCTGATATTTTCTGATAATCTTGAAAATCACAGAAAACAGGTCTGTATTGTTCTTGAGCGCCTTCGTACCCACCACCTATACATTAAACTGGAAAAATGTGAGTTTGAACAAACAGAAATTCAGTTCCTGGGGTATGTAATAACTCCTAAAGGTTTAAGTATGGACGCAAGTAAAATTAAAGCTGTGCTGGACTGGCCCATCCCCAAGAATGAAAAAGATATACAAAGATTTGTGGGGTTTGCCAATTTTTACAGGCGTTTCATTAAGAATTTCTCTGCCGTTATTACACCAATCACTGAACTTACACGTAAAGGGACTCCTTTTCAGTGGTCCAATAAGGCTGACACTGCATTTTCCAGATTAAAGACTCTGTTTACATCTGCCCCTATCTTGGTACATCCTCAGCCAGAATTGCCATTTATTGTAGAGGTAGATGCTTCTGATTCAGCTGTTGGGGCTATACTGTCTCAAAGGACTGGTCCTAAGATGTTGTTACATCCATGTGCCTTCTATTCCCGCCAGATGTTACCAGCAGAAAGAAATTATGACATAGGGAATAAAGAACTTTTGGCTATAAAAGCTGCCTTCACCGAATGGAGACATCTCTTGGAGGGAGCCACCCAACCAATTACTGTCCTCACAGATCACAAAAATCTGGAATGTATCCAATCCGCTAAGAGACTGTCAGCCAGACAAGCACGCTGGTCCCTATTTTTCTCAAGGTTTAATTTTTTTTATTTCATACCGCCCTGGTTCCAGAAATGGCAAGGCAGATGCCTTGTCTAGGATAGCTGACCCCCTCCATACTACAGTAACCAAGGCCAACATCTTGCCGGAGAGCAGATTTTTAGGAGTTACCTTTCCTTCTGATCTAATGTCTCGCATTAAAAAGGGCTACTCTAAAGATCCAGTTTTTCGTGATCCTCCTCGTGATCTTCATATGACCATGCTTAATGGATTTTGGATTTTTCAACAACGTCTGTTTGTTCCAGAATCAGTGCGACTGGACGTTTTACGCCTCTACCATGACTCTAAACCAGCAGGTCATCCGGGAATCCGAAAGACACAAGAACTACTTACCCGATCCTTTTGGTGGCCTAAATATTATGAGGATGTTAAGAAGTATGTGTCCTCTTATGATATATGTGCCAGACATAAGACTCCTCGCTCATCCCCTGTTGGCTTGCTTCAGCCTCTTCCGATTCCTCATCGTCCCTGGGGATCTATATCCATGGACTTTATTGTGGAACTTCCTCCCTCTAAGGAACACACTACTATTCTTGTTGTTGTGGACCGGTTAACCAAGATGAGTCATTTCATACCAGCTCGTGGTCTCCCTTCAGCTAAACAGACTGCTGACCTTGTTATTCGAGAAATATTTCGCTTGCATGGAGTGCCTGATGAAGTAATTTCTGACAGGGGAGTGCAGTTTACATCTCATTTTTGGAAATATTTTTGTTCTATTCTAGGTATTAATGTAAATCTGTCTTCAGCTTTTCATCCACAAAGTAATGGATAGACTGAGCGAACCAACCAGACTTTAGAACAATATTTGCGGTGCTATATTAGTTACCTGCAGGATGACTGGCTGGATTTTCTACCCACGGCGGAGTTTGCCTATAACAATGCCCAACACTGCTCCACTTCTCTGAGCCCATTTTTTGCCAATTATGGTTACCATCCAACTTTTCTAGTGAGTCTCCCAATTACTACTCCCATTCCTGCAGTCACTGACCGGCTAACCGCCTTACGAGATTCCCAAGAACTGTTGAAGGAGACTCTTTCGGAGGCTCAGGAATGTTACAAAAGAGCTGCTGATAGGTACAGAAAGGAGGCCCCAGTTTATCATGTTGGTGACAAGGTTTGGCTGTCAACAAAGAATCTTAAGCTTAGGATTCCTTCTCATAAATTGGGTCAAAAGTTCATGGGACCTTTTAAGATAATCGCTCAGATCAATGCAGTCACCTTCCGTCTGCAACTTCCGGATTCCATGAAAATACATCCGGTGTTTCACGTGGCACTGCTTAAACCTTTCCATGAAAATACTTTCCCTGGTCGAGCCTTGCCTGCCCCACCACCAGTCCTCGTGGATGGTGAAGATGAATACGAGGTGGAAAAAATTCTTGACTCCAGGATCTTCCGCAACAAGCTTCAATATTTGGTTCATTGGAAAGGCTATGGTGAGGAGGATAGATCGTGGGAACCAGTGGACAATATTCATGCTCCTGATCTTCTTCAGTCTTTCCATGCACAGTACCCTGCTAAACCAGGAAATAGGGCATCCAGAGGCTGCGCCTGTAGAGGTGGAGGTAATGTGAGGAACTGACTCTGCTGGGTTTCGAACCCTGGTTTACATGGTGCTAAACCTCTTCCTTACCAGTACACCAGCCTGCCTTTTGCAAATTTACCTGAGATCTGATACCATTGCTTGTAGAGTCAAGGTTATCAGTGACAACTCTCTTCAGCTGTGTCTGGTCAGGTGTCTGGTTCTTGGCCTATAAAAGCAACTTCCTGTCTCTGTACCTTTGCCAGATTATTGTGGTTCCTGTACTCTCTAATCAAGCGTGTTCCTGTTTCTTCCTGTTGCTGAATTTGGACTGTTTTGACTTTGCTGCTTCTCCTTCCCACTGACCTCGGCTTGCCTCACTACGATTATCATCTTTCTGTTCCAGTCTCCCATCTCTGCTTAAGACCAGAAGGCCACTCAAGGCTCAGGGGCTCAACCACCTGGGTAACGAGTGGCTACCTCTGGCAGAAAACATTGCTGATCTGGCTACTGGACTCCAAAACTTTGTAACATCAATATCATTACACTTTTTGAGTGTTGATCATACCCCTGACGGAGGAAGTCTACCCTATATCCCATAAGCGGGGATTGTACCGCTGTACGCTCTTCACACTAGAGCTAGCTATAGCTCTAATATATGTGAGTTTATTACCATCTTTTTATCATTTGCTATCTTAGACTGGACATATTACACTATTAGGTTCTTTATTTACTTTATCTTTTCATATGAGTGGACCTGCCCGGGCAAGGACAGAGAGGACATTGTTCCTGACCAAGCACTTTATAGACTATAAACATTATAGACGATCGGTAATATCATTCCAGTTAAGACTCTTTTATTCGGATTACCCTCATATCTTGACTATTGAATGTTATAAGGTCTTTTTGGCGCAGCCCTTATCTCTCTTTTTTTATTATTCTTGTTGTACTCTAAGGGTTTGAGGGATTCCCTTATAGGGTTGCTGCCCCAATTGTTATTGAGCATTTACTCTTTCCTCTTGTTTTATATTTAACTATGTACCCTAAGGGTGAACGTGCAGAGTGCCAAATTCCACGTCCATAAGAAATTCATTAAGTGCTACAAAATATAAAATCTAAATATATACAGGCTGTCAACATTCCTATGAGACTAGAATATAGTCAGTCAAATAGCAAATAGTATACAGAACACAGATATAATCAAAAATATGAAGTTCTATAAATCCAAATGCAAGTTCTCCAGGATAGTACCCCAAACTCATAAATGACTAATGTGTCACTGTAGAGAAGGTAATGTAGTTCCAGTAAAATATGCAGTTTAAAATATCCCAAAAAAAGAAAAATGACATGAAAAAATAAGCCTGCTGGAATGGGAAACTATCCAAGCATACAATTGAATTTGATCTCACCCATGGTAAATGATTAGGGAGTCTTTGTAGTCTCTGTACAAGTAGAGAAGAAGAGTGTCCCTCTGTTCTAACTGTATGTCGCTGGGCTCCAGTTTAGAAGTATGCTAGGCAAATCCTGGATTGGTCCGACTGAGGTCTTCCAGACTCCAATAGTAGAATGTAACAGGCAGATCCTGGGCTGTGCGCTCGGGAAAACAACCTCCCTTCGATGGCCATCATAGGAATGTTGACAGGCTGTATATATTTTGATTTTATATTTTGTAGCACTTTATGAATTTCTTATGCACTTGGAATTTGGCACTCTGCACTTTAATATAGGTTATGCACTTTAACCGTTAGGGTGCATAGTTCTATATAATCGCATGATCGGTTATATTTACTTGAAGACTTGACCGATGGTGGCAATGTTATGTGAATACATTTATGAACTTTTTCTTTCCATATCTTTATTATTTTTTTGGAGTGTGGTATCATTTTGTTATTTTTGTATATTTATTGTAGTGGTCCTTGGAGGGTGCCCCAGATACCAGCACCGAAGATTTGAGTGAGTGCAGGCATACTGAGTAGTTATCAATAACATTTTTAGTCCTCTCCATAAACTTTTCCAGTGTGTGTTCAATTTTCATGACCCCTTGAACCATCATGCTGGGGGACTATGTCTTGTGAGGGAACCCAGAAGTGAACAACATAACTATCCAAGTGAACAATACAGCTATCCAAGATCTCATTTAGAAGATTTGAAACTAAAGATACATCCAGATACAATGCCAGATGGCAGGTTTTAGCTTAGTGTGCAAGTTCAAATGGCCACTTGTGGTCACAAAACTCAAAGATCACATGGACAGTTGTGCTCACATGCAGCATAAAATATATTGATCTATTAAATCCAAAGTTAGAAACCAGGGAACAAACCCAGACACCAGGGATCAAGACCCAGAAATAAGAACTGTTCTTCCAGAATCAGGACAGTTGGAAGACCTGTAAAGGACAGTTTGATGGCCTGCAGTGTGGACATGGCCTGCAGCCTCACACTTTTCTTCTGCAGATTAAAATAGCAGCAGGTGCACTGGATACTATTAGCAGAGTACTGCAGGAATGAAGCAGCATGCAATATTTCCTCGTGGACTGCAGTATCTGAGGTTTACCAGGGTGCCAGATTATCAGATTTTTACAAATGACTGCAGTCTGAAATTAGACAGTGCAAAGGACATTCATAAAACACACCAGCTGTCATTAGCGGTAACATAGTTTTGGAAACCAGAGTTTGCATCTCTTGGTCATACAGAGTTTTCCGCAAATGTCTAATCATGATGTGCATATTATATATGGCTAGAGCTATTTTTATAATGTGCACATAAAAGACCATTGACCAAAAGGTGCCAGCCCTCCTCTTTAGCTTCTCAACTTATACATTCAAAAGAATTGGTAACATTTGAAATGATATCAATTTTGAAAGTAACAATTTGCAATACCATATAGCAATTAAACAAGGTATTTTTTGATTTGGACTAAAATATTATTTAAAATGGAATAAGTAAAGATTGCCATTCTGTTCATCATAAGATATAAAACCATTTAGATGTTTGAAACACAATATTTTAGAAGCTGATTTTTCTTTCTTTAGTGTCTTGTAGAGATTTTACAGAGCTTTATAGTGGCTTAGACGGGAATTAAGTACATTATTTCTCTATAGGGATCCTTAAAGTTATAGTTCAAGTCTATTATTCATTTTAACCACCATCAAATCTAATAAACTAAACTGAGAGACAAGGATAGAAGATTATTGACACAGACACCATAAATAAAAATTTCTGAGTTTTAGGTGAACACAACTGCAGTTCAGAAGTTACAGACTGATCTCATCATGCTCGAAACTCTGTACGTTTGCCCTATAAAAAAAAACATTAAATAACCTTTGTAAAATTGTGTGGGGACTAGGGACAAGAAATAATAACATACAGAAACATCTGACCATCTTGCAATATATCCTGATACAAAGACAAGGCATGGGACTGCTTGACTTGATGCTCAATAGTACACTGCAAATATTGTTATACACATATGGTGTATGTAATAAACAAATGTCACTCTATGACTTAAAGAACAATGTATACTTGGGAAAAAAAAGAAAAACAATATATTTTTTCTCTAATTTGGTTTAAACTAGGTTTAGAATTTGGTCCTGCCATTGTATAAAATAAAATCCTTGGAGATTGTACAAAGCAAATTGCTCATGCTGGTTTTATAGTACAGTGTTCAAGTGGAAATATTGATTGTTGAGTATTATTTGTGTGTTCTGCAAAGCTTTTGACACCTTCAGTTGGATCAGCTTGATTTAGTTTTTAAACTAATGGTATTCACAACTCTCTCTACAAAATACATGTATAGATGCAGTCTTTTCCTGAATTTCCACAAAATA